ATAATTTATTTTAAATTGACAGAGAAATATTTTATTTGTCAAGCTCATTTTGAAATCCCATCAATTTTGACGTACTAAAAGCAAATTCTATTTTTATTTGTAAAATATCCTTTTGATTTTAATTTGAATTTCTGAATATTTAAGATAGTTATAACAAAATTTGTATTAATTATTACAACTTAAATGAAATATTTTTGATCTTAACCGAACTCAAAAATATATTCCAGAAAATTAACTTTTATATAAAAACAAAAATACAACAAAATGCAGTATGCATTAAATCTTAAATAAAATATAATTTAAATTTTACGTTCCTTTTGATTTCAATTATAAATAATGAATATTTTTTATTATTATAACTGAAAAATATATTTCAGTCAAAATTTCAAAATCTTGAATCAAATATGGTTAAAATGTTTTCCTTTCAATTATAAATATTGATTATATATATGAACAGATTTCCATAATTAAATCTAGAAAAATATCAAAACTTCCCCTAAATATAAAGTACACTCTCCAACTCTTGCTCTGGCATAGTATAATTTATGCAGAGAAAGAGTATTCGGGCTGTGTGCACAACTTGGCTTGCAGATGTAACCTGCTGCCTGCTTCATATGTGCTTCAGTTCATTATTGCCAAAGGGGTTTTTTTTTTGTGCTTACTGTCAGTATTTTTGAAAGGCCGGCTAAAGCGCGTCCGTTCGCCAAGCTGGCAGTTATTGTAAAGGGCCTCGCTTTGGCAGTGAACAAGCCAAACAAAAAAAAAAAAAAACTAAACTTTTGCTTTTTCAACGCTCTTTCTGCTATTTTACTATATTTTCATGCTGTTGTTTTTTATTTATTTATCTATCTTCGTATTTTGCTGTACATTTATTTGTGGCACATGCCAAAACATTGGCCACTTAAGGCCCAATCTGTATTGTGTGTGCACACGGATAATGCAGATTACACACACACACACACACACACACACACACACACACACACACACACACACACACACACTCACGCACACATACCTTATGCTGTGCTGCTCGATGTTTTCTGTCTCTTTTGTTGTTTTTTTATTTTTCATTCAGTTTCGTGTAATTGGGCAATGTGAATGCGCGCGCGATCGTAAATGGCCAAAAAGACAAATTGTAAAGTGGCTAATTTTATGCAAAAAAAAAAACAAAAAACATAACAACAACAATTGAAGCAAATGCAAAAGTGTAGCAATCCAAGCAGGCAGCTCAATAGTTTTAGATACATCGCACACTTAGAATAATAATTCATATAATATACTTGCCGTTATTGTGGCCTGTGTGTGTGTGTGTGTGTGTGTGCGTGTCGGGCGCGTGTCTTACCAAAAATTAAAACAGCTTAATAAAAAATATAAATAATAATAATAGCTAAACAGTAAGAAAAAGCATTGCCCCACACGCAGCAGCTATAATAAAAAAACAAAAATAAATAAAAAAAAACAACAACAAAAATATAATAATTAAAATTTTAAGAAATCAAACACAAATGAAGAAAATGGCCCATAATTGTCCCATTTTTGGCAGCGGCTCAATTGAATTGTTATATGCACACACACAGACACACACACATACACACACACATGCATTCACACGAATGTTGCTTTTGCAATACAAATTCCCTGCTTAGCCCATTGTGCGGTTCACTGTATAATTAGTTAACAGATCTACGGCTAAAACTAAACGACTTGCTGGCAAATAAATGTGAAAAAAAAAAACCAAAGAGCGGCAGCCACAAAAACCGCAATTAAATACCAGAAATAATAATAATATCAATCGCTCAGCACATATAGTATAAGAGGCTATCCCAATAGGCCAAGACACGTGCGCCTCAAGCACATGCCATAACACGTAACATACAAAAAACGAAAAAAAAAAAAGCAAGTAAAAGTGAAACACGGCTGGCAGATACCCTGCACTCATTCATATGTTATAAGCATACCAAAGACCAGAACTAAATCTAAAAGAGAGAGGCTTATGGCAAATGAAATAAACCAAAAGTTAATCTAAATATTTCAATCCGCGTATACTTTATGAGAACTTGCATACCAAATTTGGTGTCAGTAGCTCATAAAATCTCTAAATCCAAGGATTTTGGGAAGCTTTTCGATAAATATCGATATTATGGAAATGGGCAAAGATATCATACAGCGTATACCTCAAATTTCTCTAGCTCTTATAGTTGTTCTAGCTGGTGCACACATTTCCACAGAGCCAAATAGCATGTATTACCAATTTCTAGGGGCCACATTTATTCGGCAAGCGGAATTGCCTACGGCCAAATAAATATTTCAAATATTTTGCCAGTTTCCCCCATTGGAAGTGACGTCAGCAGCATCATGCGCATCATCATTATTATAATAATCATCGCCAGTTGCTGTTGTTGTTTTTATTATTTTTTATTTTTATTTTTTTTTTGTTTTTTGTTACTGTCGGCAGTAGCAAGTTCTTTTTTGAAGCATGTATTATTATTAATAGCCAGTTTTTCATTATTATTATTATTATATACTTTATTTTCGCACGCTGTTTAAAACGCGCACAAAACGCGCACTGCTCGGCCCAGGCTAGAATCCGTGTCCGTTTATTGCGCCGCAAAACTCCAAATTGGTAGTTTACCTAACTTGGCCTATAAACATTAAACACATGCTCGCAACTGATTCGCAATTCATGACCGTAAAATGCAAACAAACAAACAAGCAACAATAAAAAACCCCAGCCCATCCCTAACTCCTTGAAATTGGTAATTGAATCCCGCGGGAGCACATGCCGTATAATAATTTTTAATAGTTATACCTATTCCACAGCTAGCTAACAGCCCATAAGTACTTGAGCCATCGGGCCCGGAATCACGGTGTGCAATTTGAGCACATATATTTTTTCTGTAACCATCATTACAGACACAGCTAAGTTGACATTTACAATCAGCATACTATCCAGATTTAAGTACAGTTCACACGGTACCCAAATATATACCTAACATTTCTATTGAGTGGCTGCGACATGACTATAACTTAGCGAGTATCTCATGCCCCCTATATACATATATATGCATACAAATATATATGTATATATATAGCCAGATAGCTGGGCACGTGTGAACTGAGCTTAACACTTACAGTGACTTTTACAGCATGCAATGTCACATGATGTTAAAGAGAGTTAACATTAAGTTAGGATGTTTAATGTCACATTTGCTCGTAACTCTCTCTTTCTCTCTCTCTCTCTCTATCTTGCTCTTTTTGTCTCGCTCTCTTTGTGTGTCTTTCATCCTAATCGAAACTGAAAAACTGGAAAACACAGAAAAACCTGAATACTTTCGTATACACATATATATACTACCTAAAGCACAAATTTACCTGTATCCAATTTACAATCCAAGTCCCAGACACACACACACTCACAACTCGTGTGACTCCTCATTGGACCCAAAAAGATCGCTGATTCTATGAGTCTATGTCGGTCTTCCTCTTCTTTAGCGTCTACTTTTACGTTTTTAGCATACATAAATATTAATTTTTTGTTAACAAATTATAAAGCAGCGCCGCGCCTCGTCTTATTAAAAGCCATAACTTTGGGCATTTTTATGTTAATTTTGGCAGTTCTTTTTTTTTCAAATACATTTTTTTTGATTTGGCTTTAAGAATATCTATGCCACATTTTTGCCGTCTGCCATGTACTACATACGTGCCATAAGAGTAGAGTGTTTGCCCAATTTGTCGCCAGCTCGTTTCTTATCGCTTCATTGAAGCGACAACCAAAGTTGCCTTATGCTGTGTCTGTGAATAATTGTATGTGCGGAGTACTAATATGCAATTAATTGATGTGTCCACCTGGCCAAGCGTCTCTACCTGTCTACCTGTGTATAATTGAAACAAAACAGAAAGAAAACAAAGCAGCAGAAAGAAAAAAAACAACGTCAAGCAGGAAACATGATCTTGAACTTGCCGCGGCCAGCAGCTAATTACAGCAATACACAACAATGGCAAAATGCTAGACGATGGGAATAAACGCACCTACATACATATAAACACTCGAAAAACTATTCATATCCATTTATTGTCGAACTACACGCCGTACTACAATAGAGTTTCATATGCATCACGTATGCAAATAATTGATTCTAATTAGCGGTCCTCCATGGTCACTTGGTTCCTGGTGGAAGCATTAGAAACTCGCCAAATAAAGTCTTTGTACACATTCTCGGTTCTGTTCTGGGAATTGGGTTTCAGGTTCGATTATAATACAAATTAATAAATAACTAAATACTATTTGAAGTAAATCGAAACTAATTTATAGAGTAACGCATGCTGATTGAATCTGATATCATATGAAAAGTAAAGCCGAAAATTAAATCAAATATAATATACTTACAAATGTTACACACACACAGAGACTGTTGTTCGTCACAGTCTGTCTATCGTATTGCAGGGCACATTAGGTCGAAACCAAAAGCAAAACCAAACCCAAACCCAAACCAATTCAATCCCATAAAATTAAATCATTTGTCTACGAAAATTCCGACAATTATGGCCACAATTTCAATAACGAAAATCTACTACTCATCGTCTCGTTTCTGTTGCTGTTGATGTTAATAATAAAGCTTAATATTAATATTATTATTGTTATTGTTATTGTCATTGTTCTGCTTATAGTATAACACATGCCATGGCGCACTTATTTAGTATAATGTAAATATATATATAGTGTACATACATCATATATAGATATATATACATATACATATGTATATATATATAGAACTCAGAGTGAGTTCAGCCCAAGCTTAGGCTATTATTGCCCATCTCAATGGTGGCTGTAATAAGTTTTCAATTGAAATAATGATCGTACTATATACATATAATATATATTTACCACACGTGATATTTTATGGCCGTTTTGTTTGGCTTTGACTGGCAAATTGTTTTATAATTATCTAATGGATTCTATTCAACATCTTTTTCTCTCATTCTTCTCATTACAGCAAACAGTTAACTCGCCTTATTGATAATAAAAAGGGAAACTTTTACCCCCAACCACCCACCAAATAAAAGAGCAACACACAGCACAGAAAAGACCAGCAAAATGACTGGTTTCACCAACGCCGGCTTTGAGAATGATGAGCCCGTCAAGGTGAGTGTTAATACCTTAGTTTACAAGCTGGGCAATTGGCTATTGAGAAGAATCGAGGCTTTACGGAGAGCTATAGCTGGTATGAAGGCGTGATAGATCAAGCCAAGCTCAATTTATGTTTATCATCGACCAGGCATAAATAGTGAGGCCCTACTTTTCTTTTCTCTACAATTTTTGTATAAAAACCATTGGCATTAGTTCGGATTGCTTTATAGATAGAACGTCTGCAAAACTGGTTCTGTAACTGAACCGGTTCAAGCTCGAAATTCCAATTCATTGTTTAAAATGAGCCAAAACTCAAGCAAAGCCCAGCCAAGAACCAAACTAGCTCATAATTTTAATCAAAGCTCATGTAATTCAAAATTAAAATCAAAGCATAAAAAACTTGAATAGAGCTTTAACTTAACGCTAGCTTGTATTTGAGTTATGTTATGTTTTCAGCAGAATGGGAAATTCTGAATAAAAATGAAAATGTTTCAATTAATGAATTTGTATGTCACGGAACCTGACTTCAGGTTCAGGTTCATGAACGAAAACTAAGCATAAGACAGCAAGGAAACGCCCAGCTGGTAAAAACTTCCTGACTTTAGCCTCAGACAAAAGTCAATGTACGCCTTATATATACAAACTGAATGAAGAACAAGCATGAATCTAAGTTTAGCTGGAAAACCTTTCGAATTAGATATAACGAGAAGTCGTTTAACGATTCGATCGCATGCATTTCTTGACCTATTCATTTCAGTTAGTTGATGGAGTTACGAGTTTTTTACAGACGTATGTAGACATCGATTGCACGGCAATTGTTGAGCTCTGATCGAAACAAGTTTACAATTCAATCCTATTCATATTTATTTGGAATGTATTTGTGCACTCGTGTCAAGCAATCAAGTTTTATGTTTATCGGACTGGTTCGCATAGAGCAGCAGCATACTGTTCGATGTAAAAAACATAAATTAATACAAATAAAACCAATAAAAATTCCTTGATCGAATACGTGCAATATTCGTTAAAGTCATTCATGCGCATTACGTTAAGCCCAGCCCAATTGATTAAGTATGATGTCTATAAGGCTGGCTACGATATTACACTTATTGACAGGCCAATCCGGCTAATGACTGTGTTTGCCTTCGCCAAGAAATCATGTTTTAAATTGACACGCGTCACATTATTTATGATGTGCCCCCAAAAACAAAAATAAATAAAAAATAAAAAGAGATATTATAAAGAAGGAAGTATTTAAAAGCAGCTCACCTCTCACATTCGTACATGCATTTAGTTTTAAATTTATTTGTATATATACATATATATTGATGATCACGGGATGTTGGTGATTATGAATGATGATGTTGCCAGCTAATAGGCGGGCGGACAAGCGGACAAGCGGGCGGGCGGGCGTTTGGGTGCTGTGAAGTAAAGTGGCCACTCCTAAAAAAACACATAAAATAAATTTCACCTCAAGAAACAGAAACAGAGACAACCACAAAGCCCACGCTAAACAAGCCAAGCCAAAAAGAAATGTGACAGCAGAAAGCGCTATAAAGCCAAAGACAAACACGAATACACGAATTCGAATACGAGTACGAATACTCGATAACTACAAACCCATTACGTATATATATATATATATACGTACGCTATGTATCGCATAATGCCGCAAGTTATAAATGAGCCTGGCCCAATTGAAACCGAGCCACAGTCGCGTGGACTTGAATTGTGTTTCTGCACATTGCAATTGCAAAGAGCTGCATATATACATATGTATGCACATATATATTATACTTCTATTATATATATATATATGTGGTTATCATAAGTGGTTTTGCTGGCAAACATAAATATTGGTCATTTATAATGAGTCTTGTAAACCACCCATGGGCCCATTGGCACAGCATCCAAAGTGCTTGTAGCCAGTTCCAAGTGCCGGGCACAAAGCATTCTCAATGGTAAACCCGTTTTTGTTGTTGTTGTTGTTGTTGTTGTTGTTGTTGGCAGTGCACAGCCACATTAAGAAACCAGAGAATCAGGCAGCAAATAACCCAAAACTCAATAACAAATACAAATTTATGTAAAGTCAAGAGACATGTAAAAATATGGCAAGAGGAGACGGCGCAGCGACCAAACAAACACACACACACATACAGACAAGCACACAGACAGACACACACACACACAGACAGACAGACAGACCGACGGAGAGACAGACAGGCTGAAAGCCAAAAAGCAAACACGAAACGTGCCGAGTTTAAAAATAAAACAACGCAAATCTCGTGCGCCGTTGCGCCGCTCTACGCGCTTCTCACAGTGACAAGGCGCTCTGGCAATTGCTAATGTGCCCCTCACCACCCCTCGCCTGGCTGCCCCCCCGCCAGCCATCGCACACAATGTAACTGGTTTGCTGCTTGTAGGTCTGCTGCTGCTGCTGCTGGCTGCGAGATTTTCCGTGCTCTCTTATCGTATGGTATTTTATGCATGTTTCGCACTTGCCACATGATTATTATTGGATTTGGTTTTCGATTTGGATTTGCTTTATTTTAATTAGTGTTATTATTTTATACAACATGCATTTATGTCTGTCTGTCTGTCTGTCTGTCTGTCTGTGTGTGTGTGTGTGTGTGTGTTTTGTGTAGACATGGCCGTTTTCTTGGCAAATTGGCCGCAGCGCCACCTGCCGTCAGCTACAGACATCAGCTGTTTTGAGCGCACAGAAACGAAGGCGAGGATCAAGCGGCGAGCGTAGACAACAACATTTACAGTTACAGCCAGTTGTTTTTCGACCAGTTTTTATTTATAACATAGTACTTATATTTTTTGGTTGATTTTTTCTTCTACTTCTTTGTATTTTTACAAACACTGCAATTATATGCACATGTGTGCGATCGCACGAGCAGCTTGGAGGACAGAGGAATTTCATTGAATTTTCATTTGAATTGGGCAAATTTTGACAATTTAATACTTCACTTTTAATGCAAGTTCAACTTTGAATGTGTTCATATTTGATGCCAACAGAAATAAATTACCGAAAAATAAAACGAGATGGTCAAAATTTCATCGTCTAAAAACTTAGGTGAAATCAAGATCAGATATTCAAAAGGAAAGGAAAACAAATTTCAAACTAAGAGGAAAACCTTTAACATATGACATTTAATTGTTGAACACATTCAGAACTGAAGCGAAAAGTACATAAATTCTACCAGTATATGGTATTTCCATAGGCAATTATATTTCGTTGCGCTTCGTAATACTGTTATTTTAGAGAAGGGTGCTCCAATTGCCACTCAGCCACTGGCAAATGCGGCGTATGAGTAATATTTAGCCAAATGAATTCGTCTGGGCCGCATTGACGTGGCCGAAGTAGCTCGTGTTGTTGTTTGTGTATATTCATTTTGTTTGTTGCTCTGTTTTCTGTTGGTCGCCAAAAACTTGTTTAATTTTTTGTTTTGCCTTGTTTTTTTAGCACCTAATTAAATGCAATTTTTTAATGTCAGCACAACAGCAAGAACAACAACATCAGCAATAAGATTAACAATAATAATAATAAAAATAATATTAATAACAGCATCAACTTTACAGTTGCACGTATTTAAACTTCATTATCATGCATTTATAATATGCTTAGATGTGTTTGTTTAAACATTTAAGACTTTGTGTTTTATTGATAAGCTCGGGGAATTTTCGCTGCCCTGCGATTTGCATACAAACAAAGCGAGCTCTGCCCAACCACCCAACCACCCACAGCCCCAACTCCACCCTGTCATCAGTTCCTCCGGCCGCGTGTGAACCTTAGCCGCAACAAGGGGCTATTATGCGATAATATTTAAACTACTTACATACGATATTGTTGTTAAAAAAGTAATCGATTCAAGCTTGCATAACGCCGCTAGCTTCTGTTGTTGTTGTTGTTGTGGCTGTTACCTACCTAATTGGCCAGGGGACGTGGACGTGGACGTGGACATGGGGCTCCATGTCGGCTTCGTTAAATGCCAATTACAATTTCGTACCTCCCAAAAATAAACTAAAACAAAATAAAAACTTAACGTATATTGCGTTAGCGTTGAAAATCGTTCACCCCCTCCTACCTACTCTCCCCCCCCCCCCCCCCCCCCCCCCCCCACCCTCCCTGGGGACCGCTCTGTAACCTTCTGAGCGGTGCGGCAGCGCATGCAAAATCACAATTTCGATTTCGGGCAGTTCTACGACCGTGCCCAGCTAGCTGGCAAGTGCCTTGCGCATTTTTTATGACCATTTAAAGACCGCGACGCGCATGCGCAATGTAAAACGCGCACCGAACGCTCACAAAACGCGCGAAAAACGCGCGCGTTCACGCATTTTATTTTCGAAACTAAAAGCGCAAACGCGCCAACACATAAATAATTAATTAAGATTGTCCATGTGTGTGTGTGTGTGCCAAAGACAACCAAAGAAAGGCAAAGTGCAGCCAAGCCGCACCACAAATACCCTTTCACTTGCAAACATATGTTAGTTCCATATTTGACGTAGATCTATCCTAATTACAAATTTTGTAGAATTCCATTCGAAACAAAACAATCAATTGATCAAATTCTAAGAATTCAATTAGGAACAATACAATATTATGATTCGATCATATTCTAAGAAATCTATGAAGAATTTTCTCATACCATATACAAATTTTCAATCAACTTTTGACAATGGGGATTTTTCTAAATTCCATTGCACAGAGAGAAAAACTTGAGAACCTGAACTGGAATCAAGTAAAAATAAGTCTGGAAAAAGAAATGAATTTTTACAATTTTGTAATGCTTGAGTTAAGGATTGAAATATGAATATGAACTCTTAAACATCAATTAAATGGAGTTCGAATTGATTCGAATGATTCAAATTCATAGAAGGCAATTCTTATGTTGGACCATTTTTCTATATGTATTCCACCTTTTTCCATCCATACTACATTGACATTTTGAATGAACAACGATTAATTTTCGCTTTACTTTTGCTTTATTTTTAGCCAAAAGCTGGTTTCGAGCCCGACACCGCCTCGCTGCGAGAGAAAGTTGTGCTGAATCCGGCCGAGAAATGGCGCATATTAAAGAATATCTCAATCATCTCGATAGCGTTCATGGTGCAGTTTACTGCGTTTCAGGTGAGCGAAATTGATGAACGAAATGCATTTGGATGCACCTGCTAACCAATTGGCCAATTGTGCCTCAATACAATTTTAGGGCACGGCCAATCTGCAATCCTCGATCAACTCAAAGGATGGTCTTGGCACAGTATCGCTCAGTGCCATATATGCGGCGCTGGTTGTCTCTTGCATCTTCCTGCCCACGCTGATCATTCGCAAGCTGACGGTTAAATGGACGCTCGTTTGCAGCATGCTCTGCTATGCGCCGTACATTGCCTTCCAGCTGTTCCCGCGCTTCTACACCCTGGTGCCGGCTGGCATTCTGGTGGGTTTGGGCGCGGCGCCCATGTGGGCGTCCAAGGCTACATATCTGACACAGGTTGGGCAGGTGTATGCTAAGATAACTGAACAAGCTGTTGATGCCATTATTGTGCGCTTCTTTGGCTTCTTCTTTCTGGCCTGGCAATCCGCTGAGCTTTGGGGCAATCTCATCTCCAGCTTGGGTAAGTCACCACACACATCCCAGCCACCATCGTTCCACATCTAATCTCTCTCCTCCTCCCTCTCTCTCTCTCTCTATATGTGCCTCTTAACAGTTCTGTCCAGCGGCGCACATGGTGGCAGCAGCAGTGCCAATTCCACAATCACCGAGGAGGATTTGCAGTATTGTGGCGCAAACTTTTGCACCACCGGCAACGGCGGCCACGGCAACCTGGAGCGTCCGCCAGAGAATGAGATCTTTGAGATCTCTATGATCTATCTGGCGTGCATTGTGGCCGCCGTGTGCATCATTGCCTTTTTCCTGGATCCCCTTAAGCGCTACGGTGAGAAGCGCAAGGGCTCCAATTCGGCTGCGGAACTGTCCGGCCTCCAATTGCTGTCGGCCACGTTCCGTCAAATGAAGAAACCGAATCTGCAGCTGCTCATACCCATTACAGTCTTCATTGGCATGGAGCAGGCCTTCATTGGCGCCGACTTTACCCAGGCATATGTCGCCTGTGCATTGGGTGTCCATCAGATTGGGTTCGTGATGATCTGTTTTGGCGTTGTGAACGCTCTCTGTTCCATACTATTTGGCTCCGTGATGAAGTATATTGGACGCTTGCCCATCATTATTCTGGGCGCTGTTGTTCACTTCACGCTCATCTCCGTGGAGCTTTTCTGGCGGCCCAATCCCGACAATCCAATCATCTTCTATGCCATGTCCGGACTGTGGGGTGTCGGCGACGCCGTCTGGCAGACGCAGATCAACGGCCTCTACGGTCTACTCTTCAGGCGAAACAAGGAAGCTGCCTTCTCCAACTATCGCCTATGGGAATCCGCTGGCTTTGTCATCGCCTATGCCTATGCCACAACGCTCTGCACCCGCATGAAGCTCTACATTTTGTTGGCGGTTCTCACGCTCGGCTGCATTGGCTATGTGATTGTTGAGATTCTCTACAGAAAGAAGGTAAGCTAGGTCCAAAGCTAACATTTCTTAAATACATTGATTTAAATGCATATTTAGATAAAGTAAGCAACAAAAATGGATTATTTATTAAATTTGTTGTATTTCTTATATTTACAGCAACGCAAGATCAAGAAGCAGGAGAAACTCGAGGCCGCCGAGAAGGAGAAGGAGGCCGCTGCCGCTGCGGCAGCTGCTGCAGCCGCTGCAGAGGCCAATACCGGCTTCGGCGACGGAGTCGAGGAGACCGATGATGAGCTCGATGATCTTGAAGAAGATATTGTAGTCACGCGCCTGTAATAATCGTAATTTGTTAATTGTTGTACGTTCTTTTTGTTTATTTTGCCGACGGCGTCGTTGCGGCTGCTACAGCTCCACTGTTAACGGGTAACGGGTAACAGTGAGCAATTCTGTTAATCAAACACGAGTGCAAAACTGTAAAGCATATGTAAATTCAAACACACACACACACACACCAAAAACTATTGCATAGCTGCAGGCGCACACATTTCGTCGGCGCTAATCGTTGTAGTTGTCGTAGTACTTAGTACATTCCCTCTTCCCAATCCATTTAACACAAAAGGCCAACAGGCAAGCGCACACTCCTGCGCTTATATATATATAGATAAATATATATGTGTGTGTGTGTGTGTGTTTATGTAGAAATGTGTGTGTGTGTATAGGTGTGTGTGTGGTCTTGTGCTCGTGTCACGCACAAATTTAGTTTGTACATACATATGCAAGAAATGTTAGCAGAGAGTTTTGCAAGTTTATAGCAATTGACGACAGATGGCGCCTTTAACTTAACCTAGTGTGAATTACAAGCATCGGTGTGTTAGTTTAGCTGTAAGACAAACACGACACACAGACAACACACACGCACACACACGCATGCATGCACAAGCACCACGCACAATGACAACATGCTGCAGCAGTATGTGTGTCAATATGCCTATTAAATTGTTATTTTATTTTAAAAACTAGCATTAAATCTAAATATATATATGAATTTTTTTTCAATTTTTTTTTTTTGCTTATATACAACAACAAACAATTAAACAAACAAGAAAACGTGATAACCAGCCACACTCACAAATAAACACACACACACACACACACATGTATACAAACGTACACACACAGACACGAGTGCACACAGTCACAAAATAGTCAAATTTCTAAACTAAAACTGGCCGCGAAAACTAATATTAAAAATAATTATAATTAAGCAGTCGAAAAAAAAAACAATAAAAATATATGCAAAAAAAAATATAGCAAGCACGCGATTAAAACAAATTTGATAAATGCATAAGCAAAAAATATAGCATGCAAAACGATAAATACATTTTTTGCTCAGTATTATGTTTTAAACTAAATTTAAGTGAGTTATTGTATCCTGTTTTTTTTTTTTTTTTTATTTAACACCCTTTTCTTTTGCAAAAGAAAAACAAAAGAAACGCTATCCAAATAGTATATTTTTGAATGTATATATACATATATATATACATATAAATATATACTATACATATATGCATATAAACAAATGGAAAATTTTTTAATTTCGTGTTGGAGAAGCATTATCGAAAACCTCCCTTCGATTGCAATTATTATTATTTTAATAATGTTGCATTAGCACAATATACAGACACATATATTTTTTTGTTTTATTTAAATGTTTTACGTAAATATAATCAAAGCAAAACAAAATTCAAAAAAAAAAAAAAACAAAACAAAAATAATATTAATGCACACAATTTTCTTTTTTTTTTCTTAGTTGATTAAGTAGTTCATTATATTATGTAAAATGTATAAATAAATAAATGAATATAAATATTTGATATGGTAGTTGATTTTAATTTGAAAATAGTATTTTCTTAATATAAAAAATAGTTATCCAATTATTGCCACGCTTACTCGAAGCTGGGTAAAGGGTATCTGCCAGTCAATAAGATTGTACTAATTAGTTAGGAGCATATTGAAGCTCTTTATTTATTGCCACGCTTGGTTCAATTATCTAGTAAACTAAAAAAGTTCTTAAAAGAGTGCAGTGTTTAACGATTCACTCGAAATAAAGTAATATTAGCCAACGATAAGGGTAAAAGTTGTCTGTATTCAATAACCTCCAGCTCTAGTTTTAAACGACTTTCCTATCAACTACATGTTTCTAAACACTTTGTCACGCCTTCAATGCTTTAACTTGTTGAGAATTATAAAGCGCGTTACTCTGTTCGCATGCAGGGCTCAATCTTGCATCTTTCATTTAGCTGCACACGTCTGATAGGGCATACCTAGGCCTATGTACTGCCTAAAACGAGACTTAGGATAGTTTCTTCATGATAGTTTAAACCAGACAGACCATGGCTATGGCTATATCAACAGTTGGCACTAATTAAATATACATTAGCAGTTTTAAAGTAGTTCGATTGAATTTGCAAATTAGTCGTTGCAGGCTTTGGTTAAGACAAAAAAAGAAGCCTTACTTAAACTGTATATCTTGATTAAGAAGTACATATATTCTACACACATACTTAGCGGAGTCAGATGACTCGTGATGTTATGATGCCCTCTGGAAGGGTATAAAATAACAAAAGTGACCTCGTACTTATCACGACGCTCGCTGCACGAATATAGCTAAACGCTTATTAGTATGTTCGTATATAGGGATCTGCGGATTGGTTTATTCTATATTTAAATATTAAAAGTAAATACATTATTGTTATTGAAGAAAAAAAATGCCTTAAATTTGTAGCAGACTTAGACTTTGATTAGGCAATTATGGAATTACAGCTCAATGGCATCATCTGCATTAAACTGTTTGTTCTTGCGACGACGACTGGATTTGATCTTGCTGAGTACGCTGTAGGCCTGCTGGATTTCAATGAAGCGCTGGTGGGCAGCGGGTCGCAGTGCCTCATCCTTGACTTTGTCGGGATGGTTCTCTTTGGAGAGTTTGCGATAGGCAGCCGTAATATCTGCCTGCGAGGCGGTGGCACTGACGCCCAGTACCTTGTAGGCATTACGTTCACCATCCACATCCATGCTCTCAAAGACCTCACGCCACGTCTCGTACCAGCCATGATGCTGCGCATATGTATAGGTGTCGTACAAGGCCTGCTTTAAGTCTGTCCACCAGGCGGAAGCGAGAAAATTTTGCAGTGCCTCGTGTATGGGCACTTCGCCACCATCGTCGTCGCGAATGGTGCCGTTGAACAGCACCACGGAGCCCCACAGGCTAAAATAAATGCAAATGGCTGCGCCCAGCTTCAGTGTGCGTTCGGTGGGGCCGCGTCGGCGCGGCGGTGCACGGCGCCACTGCTTCGAGAAGGTATCAAAGACCAACGCAGACACAAGCGAGGTCAGGAGCAGCGAGTATGTCTCATCATAGATGAAATAGCGTGACGGGTAGGCAACCATTGCGCCTATAAGGCATTGCCACAAAACGCCGGACTCGCGTCCAATGTTGCCCACGGTCCAAACGCCCAGCGACACAAAAATCGGGATGCACCAGTGTAACCAACCAAAATCAATCCCCGCAGTGATGGCTTGCGGTATGGCCGAGCTAAACAACTGGCCAAACAGGTATCCAATCATGATTTGACCCAGAAAACGCTTGGCCGAGTACGGCGGTCGCGGATAGGCCTGTAGCTTGGCGACAAACACTTTCAGAAACTGTGGATCCTCGTTGGCATCGCGCACATATTCGGGTATGAGAAACAGCTCGCTGAACCAGCCAATGCCCAAGTAACCGCCCAGCGAGCACCACCAGACAAAGGCGTGACGGTCTCGATGTAAATACAAGTGGTGCAGTCCAAATATGCCGCCAACGAGCCACAGCACATAAGCGATCACAACGGACTTCTTGCCCGGCAGCGCATTCACCTCCCGGTACGACTTGGCTTGTCCATTTGCCTTCGCTGGTGATGCTGAGTTGGTCAGCGACTCACAGCCAGAGCCCTTGCTATTGTTGTTGCTGGTCACAACCGTTTCCTTAGGCGCCATTGTAGATATTCTCACTGCGGTGTTGGTAAATGCAAAATGTTATAAATCTAGCAATTGTGAAATGAAATTCAATTCTTACCCGCAATAGCCCAGTTTCGATTTTATGAGTCTTACTTTATTGAGTGGATTTTTCGTTCTGCTGTCACAGTAAGCAGCAGCAGCAGCAGCAGCAGCAGTCAGTGTAAGCCGAGTCGAGTCGACTCAGTCAGCCGCGATTCAAACTTTCTCTTTTCACAAATTCTGTGCACGCAGCTGCAACAACAACAACAACGACGACGACGACAACAATAACAACAGTGCGCAGAGACGACGACTGGCAGCAGAAACAGTTATAACCGCACTGATGCGTTCAAATCTTATTAGTTCTTAACGCTTCGTTTTAACTTACAATGTTATACAACAAAAAACTGCGCGCTATTTCACAAACACAAAGTTCTATCGCTCTCCACTTTGTCCGCGTTTCGTTTAGTGCTCGTCGTTCTCGGCAAACGCCACTTCATTCCCGGTTGAGCCTGTTGCTTTTTTTTAACTTCTTTAAGCCAGATCACTTTTTAGACTTAAAGCGTAAAACAGTCTGGCAGGCCTGCAAACAAATAGTATTGAAAAACTCCAAGAAGTATTGAAAGCGACGAAAAAAGTGCTGCAAAACGTTGACAACGATAATAATTGCGCGCTGATCGAATTTTAAACATCGTTTGATTAGTTTATATTCATTTGTTAGTTTTCATACTCTTGTAGAGTGTAATATAATTTAAATGTTATGGTATATAGTCTTGATCGTTAAAGGCAGCACATAGTATGATATGGAATCGGCCGGATGGAAACACTTTCCTGCCGCACATATTGAAATTTCCTTTGTTATCGTTGCTAAGCTGTGGCCGCTAGATACATTATCCAAATAAAACAGTTTATTTACCGAATGTAAGTGTTTTGATCAGTTCAATTATCTCCAATATTCATTTTATTCTCTCGGGCAGCAGAGCAGAAATACACACCGTTCGACTGTTCAGTTTAAAGGGATTTATGGATTTTTTTTCTTTTTTTTTCATATGCTTGACAAATTTGATTTTTGAGTTGAAAAACTGACCATATTGACCATTTGATAACATAAATATGAAGAAAAGAAATCAAATTGAAAATGTTTTGTTTTTATTTGAATGCTTACACGTATAAAAAATGTAATTGGGTTTAATTTGACACGGTAATTGCGCTCGATTAAATGTAGAATGTCTACATAGAGTTAACTTATAGATAATATGCAAAATTAGCATAGATGACAGAAAAGATGAGGATATAATTCTTAGCAGCTTACGGTCTAATGGTTATGAGAAAAAATTTAATACTTTGAATGTGCGGCTATATTGCGTCGCTGGGTTAATAAATAAATATATAAAAACCACGAAGAAAAAAATAAAACAAAAAAAATTCCAATTTGATTGAACATATACAAAACAAATTACTGAGTATTGGCAATTAGTTATTTTTCTTTTTGGGCTTCTTGGGGTTACGTGAACGCGACTTGGCCTTGCAGAGCGGACAAATGGGCGCATTGCGATGAATCTGCTGATGGCAGGACAAGCATGACTTCATTGGGGGCGGTTGTTGCCTCAGGTTCACATTGAAGTCGGAGCGAAAAGATGGATGGTGCCCAATTCCAATTGACGGTGACTGCTGCAAGCGATTTGTGGTTGGCGGCGGCGGCGGCGGTGCCGAGAAATCATTCTTTCCGAGACGCGCTGCGGCTACGGCTGCGGCTGCGGCAGCGCCAGCGCTGCCCGGTGCGCCTGGTGGTGCTGGTGGCATAAATGCATGCCCTGGCCCGCCAGCACCTCCACTGGGCACATTCGAGCCGCCGCCGCCACCGGCGCCCGATGCATTCGGCGGCAATGCCGTCACCGTGGCCTCGGGCATCAGCGGATGCCGTGCGTGTGGTCGCGCCAGAGATGTGGGTTGTGTGACGGCCGCCGCTGCCGCCGCAGCTGCTGCAGCGGCCGCTGACTGGGCGGCAACTTTAAGGAAATTAGTCTGAAAACGATCTTTTGATATGGGGCTGCCCTCCTCCTCGTGCAGATCACGCAGCGGACTGAGACCAAGGTAGTCGCGCCGCATGTGGTCGATTTGATACTTGAGGGCGAGGTATTCCTCATACACGCGGTTAGCCATATCAAAAGAACGCGTCTGATTCTCTTTAGTCTGCTTAATTATATTCTCCATGTCATTGATGTCAGCGTGTATCTGGCGCAGCTCCTCTACATGCGACATCTTCTCTTCCAGCAAATGCTCCATTTCTTTTCGATATTCGTCCAAGCACTTCTCCTCGTCATCGCTCAGCTTCACCTCCTTGATAATCCGCACCTTAAGCTTCTCCAACGCCAGAGTCTTGTCCCGTATATCCTTAATTGCCTCCAGCTTGGCGTAATAGTGCCGCTCGTTGGAGCTAGAAATCTCGCTGGTGGCCATTTTGAATGGCTGCTCTGATATTTATAACTGCTGCGTTTGATTCAATTCGGGATTTTGATTTAGCTGTGGCACTTAATATATTCAGTGTCAGCCTGGTATTGTTGATGCAATTGTGCAACGGAGAGGTGCAATTTTTAATTGAACTTTTTTTATTTTTGTATGCTTTTTTCACTTTTGCTTTGTGTATTTCGTACAGGGATGGCTGCTTCCAACCAGGGCCTTGTATTAAATAATATCGATATATCGCTTAACACTTTCAGAAAACCTAATATTAAATGTGCATGTCCGTCAAATTAGTGGCGGTGACTTAGCATCGATTTTTGTACTGAGTCCAAGCATTGGTTCGATTTCCGTTGGAGCTAGTAGCTCGATAGGCCTTTAGAATGAATGTGCTTTCATTTCATTCATTTTGTATGGGGCTATCAAATGGAGGTAGGTAGTTAATAATATTATATTTTTTTTAATTCAGCATTTAAATTTATTTGGTTTTGTGCCTAAGAACATAATCAAATGCATTTAAAGGTGAGCGATTTCTTATCCGATACCAAGTACCAAACATTGACGCTAAGTCACCGCCGCTAATTTGACGCACATCAGGTATAGCATAGACAAGCAAAGGTATCGACTACTGAGTACAAATATTTGGCGCGAACAGTTGGATTCCGTTAATAGTAATATACAATACAGACACGTTTATTTAACTTAATTGCACTTTTATATTCACTTGAATCGAAACGAATCCAAGTAACCGAGCAATATTTGTAACATTCGTCCCAAAGCATTCTGTTGACATCGAATCAACCACTGGTAAAACATCGACTTATCGATATACCTTAGTAATTCAACATTACTACTTAAAATTGAAATTCTCGGCTTTTCCTCAGTTTCCCTTCGATTTTCATCTAAATTAATAACAAAACCAAAATGGGGATTGCAGAGACAGACAAAAGAGTACAAAGAGACTCGTCAGATGTCAAGGCCCAAAAGGCCAGGAACCGCTCGTTTTTGAAACGACGCGCAGTGCAATTGAGCAATTGCTATTTGCAGAGCAACTGGAATTTGTGCACACATTTGCAGCGTCAATGGAATCGTCGCCGTTTGCGTCGCCTCTTCTCGTCGGATAAGCACTCTGGCAGGGATTCCAATCGTTCCAATCTGAAACAACAGAGCTGGTCCTTTTTCTGGTACACTTTGGTGCCCATGTTTCTGGTGTTGTGCTTCAGCTGCGGCATTACCTTGTATCAAAATACCGACGCCGTCTCGAAGTTCATGCAACGCTACTCTACCCAGTATCAGGCTATAGTGCACAACAAGCTGAACTACTGTGATCGCACCATACCGTTGCACGAGATATTTGAGCACATTCACCAGAATGTCATTAATCAGGAGGTGGCACTCGAACAACTGGAACAGGCATTGGCCAACCAAAGCTCATTTCAGGCCATTGCGCTGGTCGGAACTTCGGGCGTTGGCAAAAGCCTTACAATGCGAATGCTACAGGAGCAATATCCATGGTCGGAGAACGTCCAGAATATTGCCTGGAATGACTATGAGCTCATTGACGAGGAGGCACGCTACCAAGCCGTATGGGGCATGCTCAGCAACCTGGCGCATTGCGGCCGCAATTTGATAATCATTGACAACATGGCCATGTGCGATTTGGAATATGTATCATCAATTAATTCACTGATACTATCAAACACTGACGTGGCCAGCGGTAACAACGACCTGGACAAGAAGCAGCTGACAATCATCTATGTCTTCAATCTCAACGGCATGCTTCCCGAGGAGCACTACAGCCAGCAGCTAAAGATGCTGCAGAATCTGCCGCCAACCACGGTAATATCGTATCGTGTTTTTGGGCCGGATGATCTGGAAAAGTGTGTGCGCCACGAGGCCAAAGTGGTCGGTCTTAACTTGGAAGAGCGCTATGTCGAAGAAATGGTCAACACAACAGATGTGAAGGTCTCCGGATGCAAGACGGTACGTTCTAAGGTTTTGATCTATGGACTGCCACAGTCGAATGACGAGGAGGAGCAGGAGCAGGAGAAGCACAGCCAGACTGAAATGACACCTATCGAGGGTCACTAAGACAATAATACTGACTTAGCCAATAGCTATGCATGGGTGGGTTTTCAACGAGTTCATATTTCTTTCTTTCGGCATTTAAGTTTGTTAAACCAAAAGCAAGGTTACACTTCTAGCATTTTTCAAGGGGGGAAAATGGGAAGTAGAATCCTGTAAAATTGAAGTGTTACTAAGAATCTATATGTACACTTGCATATTAAAATAATCCACACTCCAATTATATTTAAAAACATTTATTTAAGTTAATGCCAAAACAAGGGAACATAAAGCTCATATTAAGCTTCGAAAATGACTGACAATTAATTGCTCTTAGATATGTATTTAGCTTTAAGATTCCTAAATGTTATCTTGATAAAATGGCCTACTTAGCCAATATTCTCTGATTGTGATTATCTGTGCATAAATGTCCAAGTAGCCATAAGTATATATATAATTAATTGTCCAACTATGTCGTGATTGTATGCCCTCGCAGAGGGAACTCTATTTGGTCACAAAATGTAAAAGGATTTCTACAAATATTTCGAACGTGTATTAATATAAGACAAAGGACATTGGTAAAAAGACAAAACCTTCCCAGAATGGGTTAAGACCAGTATTTTAAATTAATACAAATATGCAGTTAAATCTCAGCTGGCATAACTTGGCTAAAAACAGCCCGATTCGAACATAAATTGTCGTTTTGATAAACTTTTCTATGGCTCATCTGTGAGTTGATTTATGCAAATAGTTGATCGAGTGGCATTGGACTATGTCATAAATATTGTATATTCAGTAAGGCATACAGTTTTCTGTCGAAGATACAGTATGTTACTTATTTGTTAGAATTTCTTCTCCCTTTTGTCTTCAAAATTAAATTTCGTATATGTTTCGAACGGCCTCTCCAAATAAATCGAATATTTCATGTTTTACCAACTAACAAGAGGAATCTCTTGAATTCTGTTGAAAAAGTGACGAAGACCTTAAGTCCAGAAGGAGTCAGACCTCTAATATCGAATATATATATATATATACTTATATATATATATACATAGACAAAAACTGCAGCTCAAGCGTTAAAGATGGCTCTTCACGAGGAAATTGGCAATGTGAACATCTGGTGGTTTCCGCAGGACTTTTGCCAATCCCGTTTCGGCGATTTCCGACAGAGCGGTACCAACTCCTGTACGCTTATCTCGCTAATACTTGCGGATAAGGTGTCCAAGATGCCAAGCTTGTGCCAGAACGTAGCTGAATTCCCAGAGGTTGCCTGGGACTTAATTGGCGAATCCATCAACGATGGCAATAATGTCTATCACGACCTAATATCTGCGAATCTGAATATTAATATACCGGACGCATTGTCAGCGATACGATCGCATCAGAAGATCAACTTTCGCTTAGAGGAATGGTTCTTCACCCAGGTTGGCTCCGATCCACTCAGTCCCATGATTGTCGGTGTGGAACTCTCGCGCATCTTTACCACCACACTGGAGGTCTTCCAGCAGGGCGACGGCTGGGACGTGCCCTCCCACCTGTTCGCCGCCATTGTCGCCGACTGTCGCACCGTCATGGTTACCATCGACCTGCGCACCTCGATCGCAGCCATCATTGACTCACACCAGCATGGCAGCGATGCCGGCGCCGTGTTTGCCCAAAGCACCCTACATTACATAAGCGACCTGATGTTCTGGTTCATTAGCATGTTAGACCACATTTATTCAAGCCATCCTGCGATTTTCGAGATCTCCTTCCTCTGCTCCATGCCCGACGTGGCGCTGCGAATCCCGCCCGCCGTCGAGCAGTATGCAAATGATATCTGCAAGCCAAAGGAGAAGACTTCGAAATTGACATAATATTTATATCATACATATATATATATATATATATATATATATATATATATATGTGTGTGTGTGTGTATATATGTTTAGCTAGTCACATTATTAATTTCACCAGTTCCAAAACACCACCAAGTTCCATCCAAGAAACATGAAATCACAGTGCTGACGCTCGTTGGTTTTTTTTATGTGTTAACGTTGAGTTTCTAATTTTCTGTTTCTGTTTATTAACACAAATTTCAATCGGGCGAGCGACCGTGATGTACGTATTTATTCAATAAATCTTAAATGTTCTGAGGTTATATTCAGAGATCATTTTCTCAATTAAATGCCTAGTTTTTCTCTGTTCATATCTTCTCATATCTTTGTTAAATATTTGGCAAGCGGTTTGACTGCCTGTTAAACTTATACACTGAGAATAAGATAACCCAAGCTAGCTGACATTGGCAGATTCCAAGCTTTATCTCAGGCTTTATAATTCGGGATCACGTGTCACATATATATATACCCTGTTCCCAAGGTAAATGGGTAGAAACAAAGCTATTTTGGTTTCGTCAAAACGTTATTAAGAGGCACTTCATACATAAAGTATGTACATATATGTCATCTGTGCCGTCGATCTCAGAGTTTTATTTCAAAAGATCGTTAACTCGTTTCCTTTACAGAAAATCGATAAATATCGATAATGACATCCTACCTTTTTATTCACATCCCGGAGCTTATGTATAGCATACACAGATACCTGCTCCTGCCGCCCCTCCCCTCATGAAGACAATGAAAAATCGATCAAGTGTTGAAAAAAAAGTGTGTTGTTTTTTTTATTATATAAGGTAGTAGTAGGTAGCATATAAATTTATTTAACATACGATATACATACATATATGTAAAAAAAGACATAGCTAGCTTAAATACTTTCACACAAACATTCGATTTCGCCTTCACTTCTCGCTTCACGCTTCTTGCTTCTCGCTTCATCTCTCAAACTAATCTCACTTGACGATACGCTAGTGTGTGGTTATGTATGTATGAGAGTGTGTGTGTTTGTGTCTGTGTGATTGTGTGTGTGTGTGTGTGTGTGTGTGTGTGTGCGCGAGCATTTGCGCCTAGAAGCCGGAAACGCCGCCGCGCTTACGATAATCGGCATTTGCATAGACCGCCGTCGCATTGCGGCCAATGGCACAGACCACGGAGGCTGAGTCAAGCTTCAATGGCTGCAGATTGTGCCCCCGTTTCTGGAGAAGCTGCAGCAGCGGCTCCGAGTACTTGCCATCCTCGTACTCGAGGACGTCGGGCAGAAGCTGATTGTAGAACCGCGGCGCATCTACAGCCGCCTTCAGGTCATCTCCGAGCCACAGATAGCGTGCGGCCACCTCGACAATGGCCGGCACGATCTTGCTGCCTCCGGCAGCCGAAATTGCCAAGCGTATGTTGCCGTCGTGGTCCGCCAGCAGCATCGGCGACTGCGAGGACATGGGTCGCTTGTGTACGTCAATGGTATTCGCCGGCGACTGCGGCAGCTTGAAGTGATTGTGCGGCACAGCAAAGTCGTTCATGCCATCGTTCAGTATGATGCCCGTGCGTGGTCCAACCAGGCCGGAGCCGAAACTGCAAGCAAATCGTAAAAAATTGTCGGGAATTATCGAATAAGTGAGTACTCTATATCAATCACAATCAAATCAATCTGCTTTGAATGAATACTTTGATCGGGACTGCAAGCGGAGCAAAAGTTTAATTTGAAACGAACGGGTCTAAGCCCGGAATTTGAACTATATTCACAGAAACCCATATATCCCACATTCAAAATATGTTAAACTGTTTCATTCGAATTGGCAAAAGATGTAGATGTGGCAAACTGGGTTGCTGGTTCGAGCAAACACTTTTTTCTGAGAGTTTAGCCCCTTAGTCGGATTCCTTGCTTCTCAGCATACCCCATTTTAAAAAAGATGAAAATGTTTCACATTCCGAGAGAATGTAATATCAAATCGATCTATTTGAGATTATTTTGTCCGTTGGCACTCACTAGAAATTGATGGAGCTGGTCACGGCGACGGCATCGCCATTGGGCGCGATCACGGCGAGCGCGGAGGTGCCGTACGGATCTTCTTCGGAGGAGAACTGTGCGCCGTACTCGTGCGGTCCGCTCAGCACATGGCTATCGTTGATCTTGGAGCGCTGCTGGACTGCGTATTCCGGATTGTTCAGCTGGCTGACCAGTTCGCGCACTTCATTGAAGCGCGGATCGCCCAGCTCGGGTCGACGGGCGAATCCGAACTTGACCGCCTCGGTGATGCGGTGTACGGTAAGGGCATAGGATTCATCATCCGCCAAATCGGCGCGTGTGAAATTATAGCCCTCCAGAATGCTGAGTATGTGGGAGACGACAGATCCGCTGCTCACTGGCGGCACGGCATAGAGCGTATCCTCACCCAGTGGCATGGTTACCGAGTGCCGCATTTCGGCTGTGTATGCATCCAAATCGTCCTGGGTGATAATGCTGCCCAGCTCCTTCAGATCCTCGGCCAGCATTTTGGCCACGGTCCCGTTGTAAAAGTCCATCGGCCCGTTGTCGGCCAGCAGTTGATATGTGATGCACAGCTTCGCCGATGGCTTCAGTAATGTGCCCTCCACGTGGTGCTCGCCTGTTTCCACATTCAGAAAGATGCTCCTACGAATCAAGGGGACACATATATAAAGGATTCTTAAAGACAAGTGCCTATCCACATACTGGTACTCCGGATTATCCTTGATGGCGGACCACACGTTGCGCACACTCTTCTCCTGATGCTTGGTCATTCGGTAGCCAATCTCGCATATCTTTAGCGAGGGTGCCACCAGATCCCGCCAGGGTAGCTTGCCAAAGCGCTGGTGTGCCAAATGATAGCCCATCACCTCGCCCGGCACCGCAATGCTCAGTGGGCCAGTGAAGGAGGCATTCGGGTCCTTGTCGAACATCTTCTGATCGGCCGCGTAGGGTGCCAGCACGTGCGCATCGATCTGATGGCCCCGCTGGGACTCACGGTCATAGATATTCATCAGCAGGCCGCCGCCGATGCCCATGCTTTGGGCAGTCAGGAGGCCGTTGCACAACATTGTGGCAATTGTTGCATCCACAGCGCTGCCGTTCCGCTTCATTATATCACTGTGGTGAGGGGAGAAGGGTGTATAGTTTAAGCACATTTTAGGAATAAACTTGTCAATACGGATTTAACGATTTCTGCCTTTTTGGCACTTTTGAGCTCAGGGAATTTGCCTTGAAAGCTTTTAAGCACAGTTTGAAAGTCTTTGAGAAGCATAGAAGAGCTTTTCTTTATTATTATGTGAAAGTTTTATCGGAGCTTTTGAGTATTAATTATATCCCTCTCGCTTTGTTATGATAAACAACTGTCAAAGCTAAAGCAGCTTTTAGTAGGTAGCAATAAGTTCGAGCAGCTGTAAAAAGTTTACGAACTCTAGATATGAAGATACTATTTGAAAGCTCAGGCAACTTTCAAAGCTTCATGGGCTAGCAGAAGATAGAATTTGCCCCTTAAATCTGTAAATCATTTGCTGTTTCAAGCTTATCAAGTTAAGCAGTTTTGAAAGCTTGTGAAAGCTTTATACAAGCTTTCGAGTATTAATTATATCCCTCCTGCTCTGTTATGCTGAACCTATGTATGTTAAGATTGAAGCAGCTTTGAAAGTACATAAAATGAGCTTTTAATTTAATCAAGCAGCTGTGCTATAGGAAATCTTGATGGTATTGTGTTTTTCTCTAAAAAAGAATAACGCTAGAATAATTGAAACTATATGTCATATTAATCAATCAGTGTAGTGATATGAATATTAAGAGGAATAGTTTGTTGTACCTGCCAATCTGACTGCAAGGCTCCGCATCCGAGCAGACGGCCGCGTGCTCAAAGACGCCCAATTTGGATGTAAACTCGATGTTGCTGTTGTCCAGTATTGTTGCCGGCGACGGAGGTGGCGTTGTTGCGGACGTGGAGGCGGCCACCGCAGGACCAGCTATGGCAATCTCCTCAGCTGCTGCTGTTGTTGCCTCGATGCTGTCGTTGTTGCTGTTGTGCAGCGAAGCTGGCGGCTGCTCATCTGTTGAAGTAAATGTTTTAAATGTGTGGCTTGTGCTTGGATTGCTTGGTGTTGTTGTAGTTGTTGTTGTTGGTGTGCTTTCTATTGTTGTTGTTGTTGTTGTTGTTGCAGTTGTTGGTGTGCTAGTTGTGCTAGTTGTTGTTGTCGGTGCCGGTGACGAGGGCGCGGCGGCTGCAGCAGCATCTGTTGCTGCCGCAGCTGCTGTTGCTGCTGCTGTGCTGCTGCCAACAATTGCTGCTGTTGCTGTCGTTGTTGCTGTTGCTGTTGCAACTGTGCTGTTGCTGACTCGCAAGGGCGTTGACTTTGGCCAGTCTTTAGTAGTTGTTGTTGTTGTCGGTGCAATTGTTGTTGTTGTTGTTTAGTAAGTTAAGGTGTAAGAGTTTCTTGTCAATACATTGATTTTTTTTGGTGCCACAATAGAAGAAATATAACATTACGAGTGGGTGCCAGAGGGTGCAGGATTGTGAATCGAATGACAGAGGCATGCAAAGCTTATATGCAACATTTTTCACTGTGTTCTTTTTGTTGCTGTTGTTGCTGTAGTTGTTGTTGTTGTTGTTGCTGTTGTTGTTGTTGGCTGTGATGATTATCTACGCACATACATATCTATATAGATATATGTGTATATAGTGTATGTGTGTGCGGGTGTGTGTGTGTGTGTGTGTGATTGGATTAGTTGGCATTTGTGAGTGAGTGGTTAGGGTTGTGGATTTGGCCACTTTGTCAATTGGTACCAGCTGCCACTTACCGCTGAAGCACAGGCTGATGATCACATAGCTAATCAGGGCGATCCCAATGAAGCATATTAGGACAATCGTCAGCTTCTTCATCCAGGCCAGCAAATTGGCACGCCTGCAACGGGCATAACACATGTACACGTGCAAAACTCAATCATAGATGGGTTCAATGTTCTGAAAAGCACTTTTGCCTCAATTACGACATTCGGAAACATCCAATTCTAATGTTTGACGTTTTTAGATAACTTTTTTCTAGGGCATATATTTATAACAGGCTCGCTTCGTGAACCTGGTTAAATACATTCTTGAATCTTCAAATTTTACTTTGTCATATATGTATATTCCTAATTCTAATTTAAATTAATTATTTAAAACCCAAAACTAGCATCTAACAAATATGGTTAGATAAATGCTTTAGTTGGGAACAAGTTTTTTATGCCTTTGGATTGAGTTTGGCTCAAATATTTTTCATTGAGAAAATGGTTTGCTTTCAAAGAACAAATAATTTAATTTGGGTTTCTTTTCTGGTAAAGGTTCCCATTCAAAACTTGTTCGCAGCCTAGTTTGATTTACGATATAAAATGCCCGAATAAGTATGCTACACTTTCTACAAATGTAAACCTTCAACTAAGCTATTGCGATATCATGGATTGGAACATCTATTTACCAAATTTTTTTTCAATTTTTTCTATATGAATAATCGAATTTTTTAGAAGATAATGTTAAACTAATGCTCAAAAAATAGTTGCTTAAGATAATAAAAAAAAAAAAAAAAATATTGTAGTAAAAAATATAAAAAAAATAATACTATAATATGACTTAAATTCCGTTTATCAATTGGAACATGTTTTAACAATTCGAGACTTGGCGAAATTGAGGCGAAAGTGATTTGAATATCGTTTTTGAGACTTACATCTGCTCGCGTCGCGCCTCCTCGGCAGCGGCGGTGTCCTGCATCAGTTCGCCACCATTCTTCTCCTCATCGTCCAAGCCGCTGGAGGATTTGAGTGGAATCTTGTTCATCGCATCGTCGTTGCCGTGGTGCACCATCTTGTGAGCATCCGCTGTGGATGCTGCCGCTGCTGCTGCTGATGCTGATGCGCTGCTGCAAGTGCTGCGAATATACAAGCGAAATGTGATTCGTTTAGCGCTGTAAAGTATGCAACAGCTTATCACGCAGCTCGCAAATATGCAACAGATTTCGCACGCGTCCCAATGCCAACTGAGCGCTCGACACTCGACACTCGGCACGTTTCCACGCGGCGGCAACAATGCCGCCCGCTGAGTGCCGCCTGCGTCATTGGCATCGTCGTCGTCGCCTGTCTTTGATGGCAGGATGTGGTCGTCGTGGTCGTTGCGGTTGCATGTCTGTGGGTGTGTCCCAGACCATTTCCCATTTCCCACTTTTCACATCCCATTTCCCAATCCCGATTTTCATGTTGTCGCTGTGTGCGTGCGTGCGCCGCAAATGGGTCAGGCGCTGACGTCGGCAGCGGCACAGGACAGCGCTGCTTGCAACTTTCTGGCTTAGCACATTTTGTTGCACGTTGCGAGTAGCTGCTGCCGCTGCCGCTGACGCTGCCCATAACCATAATTGAATGTTGTGATTGGCAGCCCGGAGTGGAAGCGTGCATAGATTGTTGCCCGTAAATTGGGTTAATTGCAGCCGCACTTGATGTGTGGCACGTACATCAAATTGTCGGCACAAAAACCACCAGCTTTGGCCTCACATAACCTCCGACAACACTGTCATTATTGGCACCTGGCATCGGCAGGGCGAGCCACGAAATGCGCGAGTACCCAAAACAGTGGAGCAAGCCCTCACGCCAAGCTATTTGTCCTGACAAACTCATTGACTGACTGACTGATTGGTAGTCAATGCACAGCCAAAGTGAAGTAAGGATTATTAAGCTGCAATTTTTTATGTAGTTTTTAATTCCACCCGCAACTGTGGAACATTTGTGGAAATTGGAAACCGATTCATTCTAAAGTTATTTGAAACATTTCATTGTTTCACACTTTTCCGATAACCAAAACCAGCTGTGTGGATAAAAGATGGCAAAGGTAGTATGGGCAAAGATTTGATGCTTTGATATGTATCCACAAATGCATGTGTATATATGTATAAATGTGTATGTGTATATGTATGTACATACACATTACATATACCAATATGAATGGGAGTACGCATGTTCCTTTATGTCAAATGAAGACTTTGTTTACTTTTCTTGCTGCCAATTTGAAAAGAAAACTTATTTATTAATATTGCAATACTCTGCGATTCTCATAAATTTAAGTGTGGCCCACAGGCTTTCATGCTTTGCATAGAAGTGCTACGTATATTTACAAGTTCTGTTTGCAATCTAATAATCTTGTATATTAGTAAGTATATAAATATGTATACCATGTATGTACGCATTTATGTATATGAGTATGCATGCATATATAGTATGCATGCATGTAAGTATGTATGAATACATGCAAATATGTATGCATACATGAATGTATGTGTGTGTGTATGTATATCCGGTTGTACGCATGTACGTATGTGTTTCTGTGTAAATGTATGTGCATATATGTATGTATGGATGTTTGTATGTAAGAATTGAAGTTGGTATGTGCAAATTAAAAAATAATAATAAAATTGCCCTACTCTGTAATTCTCATGAATTGAAGTGAGGCCTACAGGTTATCCTGTTTTGATTATATTTGTTGTGTTTACAAGTTCTGCTGGCAATTTACTCAACTTAGTTTTTGTGCATGTCTGCGTGTATGCATGACATATTTACGTATGTATTTTGTTTATGGAACATACATATTGCATGTAAGTAATGCTTAGTGGGTCGCTGGCCCGTTCTGCGGTTGGCCTAGCCTGGCTGTTTTCTATTTTTAGGTCAACTGCATTTAATTTCATTTCATTTTCGTTAAATGGCCGCAGCAGCAGCAGCAGCAGCAACAACAAACGAACAACAACAGCGACCAGAGGCGGCAACAGAGCCAACAAAAAAGAAAGAAGAAAAAAGGCACACGCCACAATTACCAAGCATTACTTGGAGGCATGTGGATTGCAATTTGGGTTTACGACCCCGTCGCCGCTCCGTTGGGCCATAAAAATGGGAGAGAGAGACCACACCAAAGAGCCATAAGCAAGCAGCCGCACGGACAGGCACATGCATAGTGGGCGCGGGCACAGGTACGGGCACGAGCATCGGACATTGGGCACTCACCTATAGCACGGACAATCTGTTCCCGGCGCTGTCGCCGCCACTTCGTTCGGAATTGGTCGATTGGCGGGCATATATACTTGGAGACCCTAAGCCGCATTTGCATGCAGCTCACGGGAATTGCGCCAGTTTGGCATACACTAATTGCCCGATGGTCGATACAACTGTCTGCAAGTGGCGCGTGCGCAGCGCCCCATCCGAATTTGGCAAACAGCTCAAAACCAACATTGAGTCCGCGCCCGAAATCCGAATCTGCAACCGCACTCCCTGCACCGTCCCGGGGCCCCGCGGAATCGCTGTCATTATTATGATACCACGATGAGCACGGTGATTAGTTATGTACGTGAGCGGCTTGGTCAATCACCAGGGGCTTTTGGGTGTGGCGCGGGTTGGTTCATCATGGCATTTAATTACTCCACATAGTATATTTAACAATTATTTGATTCAAGTCTATCACTTCCACTTTTCCATTTCCCCATCTGTTTTTCTATTCATTTTTTTATTGCGGTTCATGCAAATCGACAAACGACTATCGAATTCTATATGCTCTACATACTATATATATACTCTTTAATATCTCCTCTGTTTGTGCATTGTCAGGCGCAGCTCTCAAAGGCTGAGTCGCTGTTTCGGTTCACGCTTCGAACCAGCTTCCTGCCTTCAAGTTCGTCTTGTAAGCCTGGATTTCGACATACGTAAAGCCGTATTTAAAGGGTAGTTTTTGTGGAAACGGTTTGGTTTAATGTTCGGCATATGCTTAGTAAAATATACTTATATCGGAATTGCAGTTTTTTTTTTGAAAATTGTCTCCCAATTTAAAAAATTTTTTTTTTTTTTATGCTTTATTGGTTTTTATAAACAAATCAGATTTCGAGATACGATCAGATAAAGCAAACAAACTTATAACAATCTGTGATCTATAGATATATATTTGGTCTACTCATATCTATTATGTCTAATTGACAATAATTTTGATATGAATTGAAACATTCCGATAAACTAATCGAAAAGTTCATTGAAATTGAGACAACATTAAGAATTCATACCTGTTTTCATTGGGAAATATTTCGGACTTGAATTAATTATCTTATATAATATATTCAATTATGATCATTCCTTCAAATTAAAGGGGTCTTTGGCTTAAGTTCATATATATTTTTCACGCTGGACTTAATCGTATTATTATTCTACAAAATATTCTAATAAACTATCTTCAATTCTTTTAAATTTTATGATATTAAAAGTGATTAAATCAGTTCAAGTATATTCTATTATATAGTTACATTATATTATTTAATTTAATTTTTCCCATTCTCTGAATTTATTAAAGGGTATCTAGGCTTTTTATTACCATTGCTAGCTTTTCACAGTTGTTTTGCTTTTGTCGAATTGGTTTTTAAGGGGTGTAAAAGGGAGGGGGGAGGGGAGGGATACCAAATGGGGTCAGCTAGACAAATGGAAGCTATGCTACAATTAGAACACGCATGGACAAAATACATAACTTTAGTAATGGCAGCAATAAAAAAATTGCAAATTGCAATTGTGGTTTGCGTTTTTTTTATTTTTTTTGATTTTCTCACTTGTTGCACAGAAATAAAAAATAAAAAAATGATTGCTGTTGCAGTCGCACTTATGTGTCTGAGGTCATAGCTGAATTTGATGCGTGTTTTTTATTTTTTTATTTTTCGGCTTGCCTAGACTTGGGCTGCCTCCCAATCGCCCCCGCCGGCAAAACAAACTTCTAAAGCGCACCTCGTTTTGTCCGCCCTTTGGTTTATTTGATTTATTTGCGCGCTTCGCTTGTGTTCATGCATTTTAATGTACTTTTGTCAAATTGTTTATTTAATTGTTCAAACGTTTTTGCCAGGGAAACTCGATTTGCTGTTGGGTATCTTGCCGTGGCTCCTATGATCTATGGTCGTGTGGGCGACCTTCGATTATTTTATGCCCGATCGAAAGTTTGAAATTTGTCAAATGTTTGCACATCTAATTAGGCAAAAGTATTTGCCGAGGGCCAGTTTCTTTTATGAGCATAATGAGGCTTGCCTTATTGGCATAGCATAGTAGTATGAGCCATGACTACCAAATGCCATTCGCTCGAGCTTATTGCATATATGTTGTGATTCATCATCTTTAACCTGAATAAAAGAAATATTTATATTCTATATATTCACGATATCTTTGCCTTTTCTATTTGCCGATTGCTCATGCCTGATATATCGGTTCAGTCTCCTGATAAATATCGATGTCTATCGATAAACGATTTCCGTGAAAATGCACATCTGTTGGTTTTCTTCTTAACTCAATAGAGTAACGGCATTTATTTATCAGCTCATATTCCTGGAAAACCTCATCCAATTTATCTGGAAAGCAATTCATATCTAGCTCAAGATCACAATTCCGTGTCAGAAAAGGAACGGTATATTCGCGTGTGTAAAGATTTAAATAAATTAACATGAATAAAGTATTCAATCAACGTATTAGTGGTAATCAAAAAGGTGACACAATAAATACAAATAAAGATTTACAAAGCAATTGAATAATCAAAAAACAGAAAACCCCCTTATATACATATATACATCTAAGTACACTGACAGAAAATAGGCAAATAAAGCTTAATTTTAACAATCTATAAATATGCCTCAATGCTATAAATACAAAAAAAGTATATGGCAAAATTAAAAATAATAACAATAAACATTAGGGTTTTTTTTTTTTTGGCTCAGTCTTATTGTTATTGACGCATGAAGTGTTATATTCGCCGGTTTTTTTTACAAAAATCGTTCAATTATTTAATGCAATTTACAAAATATGCAGGTTTTTAAATGAATTATTTGTGTGAATAAAGAAAATTATAAAAGAAAATCTCTAAAGCTTAAAGCTGTTTTTTAGAGATTTTCTTAAAGGCTAACTTTAGAGAAATTAACACTTTTGACCTTAGCCAAGTGGAAGCCAAAATCATTTTCAAAGCTTTCTAGTATTCCAGAGTGAATATGTGTTTTGTCGGAAAATGGGTGGAAAACTATTGATTGCAACTCTTAGCGTACGATCAAATATCTATGCAAAAGCATCTAAAAACGTCAAATTCACTTCACCGAGTGGAAGTAGGGTGAAAAAGAATGAAAACTTTCCCACGACTGGGAAATGCTTGAAAAAGAAAGAAAAAACTTGAACCGGAGCAAAGCCGGTCAATACCCGTTGGTAGTTATATGAAAAGAGATCTTAAGCTGAGTCTGTGAAACGTATCTAAATAAATGTTGCACTCGCAGTGGCTTCAACAAGGAGGCAGTGCAACTTTTGGTTGCAACTCCAGCAGCGCAATTGACAAGGCGAACAAAGAGAGAGATTGAGAGACAAAGATCTTGCATTGATCTGAGAGATTTGCGTGCTAGCATCGCAATTTGACACATTCGCAATTCGTGACAGTGCAAATTGAGCGCGCCCAAAGTTCAGGGCCATTTGGCAAATACACACATTATATTCCACATGCGGCAGCATTATACATAAATATATATATACATATATATATATATATATAAAGATGAGCGTGTGTGTGTAGATATGGTGCATAGATAGACGGGGGCACACACAGATACAGATACAGCTAGAGGTACAGATACAGATACAGAGACAGCGGCTTATTAGCTGACGGCGTCGCTGGCAATAGCCATAGACTCGATGTGTTATATTTAGAGAATGCCTTAGATTGTTGTACTCAAATGTTGATTAAGTTGTCAGCAATCAGCGTCGCGGCCGGCCGGCCAATGCCGATATGATGATACCCGAAAGCCACCGGAGATGCCGTTTAGCTGTAACAACTAGTACATACTTATTACTGTTGATTTAACTCTTGATGCGGCTATTGTTGTTGCTGTTAGTTCCAAGTAGCTGCTGGGATGCAGCTGGCACGGCAGCTCTGGCTATTAAGTGCCTGCCATTCAAAAGTGTATCCGAGATTTGAGCTAACAATTGACACTCAAGTTGCTGTCACTCGGCTCTATAATGACTTCGAACAAATACAAGCACACACACACACACACACACACACAGACGCGCACACAGCTTGATAAAGGCAGATTGGATGCTCGAAACAAATGGCCCGCCGCTGGCCAGCACGGAGATAGCAAACAGTTGTCCCTCAGCTTGACAAACATGCATGTTGCTGTCGTGACACAGCAGCAACAGCAGCAACATTGAGGGCCGCTGAGGGTGTGTCTGCGGCTTATCACTGAAACATTGCCTGCAGTAGACCAAGTGGCGGCAACGGCTCGTTTAGATAGCAACACAGACGGCAGCTGCAGCAGCAACTGCAACAGCAGCAACAACTGCAGCAACTGCAACAAGAGCTGTCACAGCAGCAGCAGCAACAGATAAACCGCATAAATCGACGCTGTGTCAAATTAGCAATAGAAAGATCAAGTCAACTGCTGGGCATATGAACTTATCATTTTTCTTGTTTTACTCAATGGAAGACATCATGAAACTTATGGGAAATGCTATCGGCATACATATATATATGTATATACATATTCATATACATATAGACGTCCGTTAAGTACGCACAGTTGACGGCAGACAAACTTGTTTGAGTCGAAGGCCAAACGACAATCTTAAGAGTACTTAGTACATAGGATATCTTTACTTGGAAGCGTCTCTCTTGTTCCACATGAATTCCATGGAAATTCTAACAAAAGCTGATTCGACTGTCAACTGGGGATTACCCATATCGAGTTTCCTGATAAATGAACAAAAATTCTGCATGATTTTTGTAAAGTAGCTAGAAAGTCAAACTTTAAACAAGAAAATGCTAAAAATGCAGAAACTAAGAATACAAAAAATTAATTTGCAGTTAAATAAATAAAAGGTAAAACGCAACAGAAAAATTATAACAAGTAAGAGGTTCTTGTCGGGAGCTCCCGACTAGGGGATACCCTGTACCCTCTTCTTCCAACATCAAATGTATATATATATTCTATTTTAGAAGCTATATGTCAAGTTTGGTGACTCTAGCTCTTATTATTTACCAAAATTGCCCAAAAAACAGGATATCGATATAGATTTTTATCGATTGCTTGGAAACGGAGTAAGTTATCGGGTATCGGAAACAAACTCGATCTGCGCGGGAACTAGGAGCATCTACATCTAAAATTTCAAGTCTCTAGCTCTTATAGGTTCTGAGATCCTTGCGTTCATACATACGGACGGACGGACGGACGGACGGACAGACTGACGGACATGGTTTGATCGACTCGGCTATTGATGCTGATCAAGAATATATATGCTTTATGGGCTCGGAGATGCTTCCTTCTGCCTGTTACATATGTACATTTGGATTTTGCACAAATATAATATACCCTTGTACCCATTTTTAATGGGATCAGGGTATAAAAATGATTTTCAAAAATAAAAGAAACTCTTTAAATACCGTTACAAACAATTTCCTTTGCTTTCCTTGTAACAAAATCTCTTGTAATTTTAAAAAAATTGGAAAAATCCGTAAAAGTTGCATATTTCATGCGAACTAAGTGAATTTTCCAATGAAAATGTCCAGCTTCTGGCAAGTTAAATTTCCAACGAGCCACGCCCATAAATGCACACAAAAGGCAGCCCGCCAGTCAACGCCAACAACCTCTCCCCCCCGCTTGACTGTTATTTGTATTGTGTATATTTTAATATGCTCAAATTGTAATATTTTCATATTTTCATTTGGCAGACAAATTGAAATGCATCTCGAGAATCTCAACAAGTGTTCGTCTGGCATCTACCGTTTGGCGTTTTAGCGGCGTTTTTCTTTTATTTTTCTTTCCTTTTCTTTTTTGGCGTCTGGCATTTATTTAATTTTCATATTCGTTTTTATTTTGAACATTGCTTTTGTTTCGTTCTTCTGGCTGGTTATTTATTTATTGGCAGCAGCATGCGAAAGAGGACAACAACGACAACAACAGCAACAGCAACAACAGCAACAACAACTAGAACAAAAATGTTGTTGCCTGTTGCTTAACTCCCTGCGCGGCTGTGCGGTTGTTGGGCAGGGGGCGGGGCAGGCGAATACCAGATGGGCTGCCCTCATGGGCATTGGGCATTTTTTGATATTTTTTTTTACTTGGACTTGGACTTGTTGCCGTTGTTGTTGCTCGCCAACGTTTGTCGCTATTTGTGTTGGACGTGTGTCTGTCTGCGTTTTAGGTGGGCGAACCTGGCGTCTAGTTGAACGCCGCTGCCAATGCCGGGCCCAGCGCACAGCCTGGCAACATAATCGCATCGCACGCACAACGGCAACAACGGCAACAAACATTTGCATTCGCTTTACGAAACGCACACGCACAAAAAACAACAACAAAAAAAATACAAATAAATAAATTATAATAATATGCTATACATAAGTACTATATACTATATATAGAAACATGTGTGTATGTGTGTGTGTGTGTGTGTGTGTGTATATATAAATTAATGTCGCACTGTGGCGCGTGTTGTCACCTCTTTCAAAAGATTCGTTCTTTTTTTTGCACTGGAAAACGAACAAAACAAAAAAACGCGCGCGTTTTTCAAACGCACAGAAAACGCGTCAAGTTTTTCGTATTTCTTTAATTGTGCTTTCCTCGCAGTTTTTGTTTTTACTCGATACGCGCCGCTGCCGACGCTATATAATTGTCTATATAGATGTGTTAGATGCGCTGATAAATTTCAATTATTATTTTTTTGCCCGATTTTCTATAAGTTTTGAATTTTATTTTATTATTATTTTTTAGTCGCGTGTCTCGTCGCAGCGCTGGCTGCTGGTCAACTGAATTAAGAACGGGACGCGTTGCGGCCGCGTCTGCGGCGACGGCAGCGTCGACGCTCGACACCGACCGCGACGGCGATGGCGACCGCGATGGCGACGGCGGCGGCGACGGCGGCGGCGACGGCGGCATTCACAGCAACTCGTCAGGCCGAGGCACTTCGTCAGAGCGGTTGCTGCTGTTGTTGTTGTTGTTGTTGTTGCAGCGCAAATTGCTGCTGCTGTTGTTGTTGCTGTTGTTTTGTTTTGGTTGTAGTTGTTGCTGTCGTGCGGAAATCACAAAAATTAGGCGGCCCCAATGGACATAGGCCGTGATTGTCACACGGAGCCGAGTCGCATCGAACCCAACCGAACTGGGGATGTGAGCCGTGCCGGGCCATGGGCGTGGAGCTCGGGGCGTCGGGGGGTCGGGGGCTGTTGCTTTGGTGCGTGTGTATTGTAGTCATGGGGCGGCTAAACTGAGCTGCGCCACCCACCCGGCCATTAAAAGCAATTTGTTGACAGTGACACACAAAAATGGATACATAGAGTGAAGCGACAAGTTGATAAACTGAAAAGAAACAAAAAAAAAACCAGGCCCAGTCCCCGACCCTGTCCCTGTCCCTCTTCCCGACCCTGTCCCTGTCGCTGTCACTGTCCCAGGCCCAGGCCCAGGCCAACAGATTTTCCATTACATCATCATATTATTTCCAAGCTATGGATAACATTACGATTCGCGTGCTTCCAAAAACGAAGTAAAACTCATAAATTTAGAATTGCGATTCTAGTTAATTATAAATCGATTTGTTATCCGGTTGTCATAGGCATTTCAAGCATTTTAATCACTTTTTAGAAATCAACTACAACAACAATATACAACTATCGAAACACATTCACATTCGGAATAAAAGCAAGTATTGATTGCACTTTCCAATATAATTATAAATATTACAAAGAAATTGTTGGACCCAAACTGTTTTTGAAGGAAACCATTCATTTCATCAAATCGAAATATATGTAAATTGGCTTATTAAACATTATAATAGTAACTGAATTATCGTTGACTCTTTTAAGAAACTAAAATATGTTAAAGAGAACATTTTTCAACTGAACAGCGGGTGAAAACCCTATTAATTGTAACTTTTTTCATGTATATAATGTATGTGTGTGTGTTCGTGTGTGTGTGTGTGTGTGTGTGTGTGTGTGTGTGTGCGTGCGTGTGCGAGAATAAACTTATATGCATATGTATGTATGTTACTTTATACCAGACGCAGGGTAAGTTTATTATTAATAAATAATGCTCTTCTCTGCGATTCTCATAGGTGCTAGTAAGGCCTTGAGGTTTTGCTGCTTTGATTATAAGCAAGTCTTGTGTTAACAATTTCCGCTGGTTATCTAAAAATCGTAGTATTTGCCAATGTCTGGAGTATGTATGTATGTGTTATATATAAGTTTATATACATATATATTAGATGCCAATGGAAGTTCGACTTGGACACAAGGCCATCTTCTAGTGTGTATATATATATGAGTATATTCGAGTGGTACAGGGTATCTGCTTGTTGAGCACAATTTAACCCGATGACACACCCCCTGCCCGCCCTTAACCAACCAACTGCAACGCACCTATTTAATTTTCTTTTTATTTTTAGCATTGCATTTTATTGTTGCCATTTCAAAGGCAACAAAAATATGAATTAGCAATTCGTTTGTACAAAACACGGACAATAAACCGTCAGAGGCAAATTGCCTCAAATAGGTATATTTACGTATAAAAGATATAATGGATATATATATATATATATATATATACATATATATAGATTTAAGCAGAAACCAGAGAGCAGCCTACTTCTGCATAGTTTAAGTGCAGCCACTCAAAACAATTTCAAATTTAAATCATAAATTGCGCTCTCGCCTTTATCGCAACAGTTGAAATGCAGATCTTGAAGCTGACTTGGTGTCTCTGTGTGCGTGTGTGCGTGTGTGCGTGTGTGTGTGTGTGTGTGTGTGTGTGTGTGTGTGTGCGTGTGTGCGTGCCAACGACGTTGGCGTTCCATAAGTAACCGCGCCACATTCTGCGTCCGGCGACAACGGCTCATCCACAGCTGGTGGGCGTCCACGAATTTCCGTCGCATCTCCGGGCAGTGCAAGAGGCCAATGATAAGACATAGCCTGGAGCGGCTCGTGGAGGCATGTCGCTGGCGTGCTGGTTAGCATGAACCTCGTGCGAACATTGAAATGTGTGTCAACAAATTGCACAAATTATCAACTGGACGCAACTAGCACAGCGCAACCGGCACCACATGGAGAGATGCGTCGAGCTGTGTGCACTTGCAACCAATTGGCGGCCGGGCGGGTGGTCGGGTGGTAAACAGCTGCAAGGTGGAAGCTGCGTGGGTGGTTCGGGGTCAAGCACACACGCACACACACTGCCTGCTAATAACTGTGATTTGACAGTCAGTTAATCTGTGCGTCCGACCGTCTATGTCTCTATCGGCGCTGCCCTCAATGAAGATGCGCTACCGGTCACCATTTATGGCGGCGGCGCAGCGAATCGTTGTCAGCAAATCAATTAAATCACTGTGAATAGTCGCTCTTCGACTTGGAGCTTGGCTCATGTGAGTGGGCTGCTGGTGGGCAGCGTGATTGAATGCTAACAAGTCGACTACCAAATGCGCTGTCTTTAAACAAGAAAATCAAAAACAAAACATGGCCCTGTGAAGCTCGAAATGCATATCTACTGTATTAACAAAATGAATATAACAAAGCCACAATTTAAAAAAAAACATTAATTAATTAAATAACCAGTCCTCCCAGATGAATCGTCTAAGTGACCCAGCCATTCTGACTAGTGTATGGTAACTTAGTCTTAGGCTTAGTCTTAGTCTTGGCTGAAGGCCACAGTAGCCGGTGCTATTATAAAAGTTGGCTGGATAATTTATAGCTACCAACATAAATAGATTATTAAAAAAAAAGAAGCGGTCAAAGAACTTATATAAACTTCAAGCTGCGTTTTCAATGCCCAATAAAGCATAGAGATTCCCATAAGCTAAACATAGAAACTGGTTGAGAATTTCAACGAAAGCTTTAAGCTTCAAGTAAAGCTTTTGTTAGAGCTAAAGCTACAGGTAATCCAAGCGAAACGTAAATACTCTTGATCTTGATAATTGTTTAACAGCCGAATTGATCCAGTCACATCCATTAATCTCCAAATTAGAGCTTACATATTCAAAAACTAACAGAGCTTTAAGCTAAAATCTAGTATTTAGCTTGTTGAAGTACTTTTTATAAAGTTTTAGACTAATAACAGGAAGTTCTATGAAATTTCATTATAGACAAAATAAATGAAGTTAAGATTGGAAGAACTCTGTTGAATATACAAATAAAGTAAGTTAAGATTGGAAGAACTTTCTGGTACAGAGACAAAGCAATCTAAATGGATGCAAAAACGAAGCTCAACGTGCACTTCGGGCGAAAGTTTTGACTAAATCGGAAGCTTTTTGGAGCTTAGGTACTTTTAGAAATCGATTGAGAATTCGAGGAAGCTCATCGTACGTTGTGCCAGACTTGGGTACAGGATGTTTAAATTTAAAGAAGAAACTCCATTGATGCACTCCATAAGTGCTTGTTATAGGCTGGTTAACTCTTAACTCTTGTCAATGTTATGTCATCTACATGCCACAGAACTATCGTATTTCTCGCCAGGCACAATTGCACAAATGCCCCGCAGCACGCGTTTCTTTTGTGGGCGTGAATCAGACACATCGATCATGGCTGCAAATGCAACTGCAACAACGCGCGCTGCTGACGTCATCAGCGACAGCGACAAACTGCATGTGCTGGTGGGCGTGGTAGTGTGTGCGTATGTGTGTGTGTGTGTGTGTGTGTGGGTGCTGCCCTTGGCCGGCTAAGCATAGCTAGACCATAAAAGATTTGCCAAACAAGTTCAGACTGTGGCAAGTGGCAGCGGATCGGAGCAGTCGAAGAGGCAATTGAACTTGTCGCTGAGCCAATTGAGCAACTGGAAGAGCAATAGCTCCATTGGGGCATTCAACAGTTTGGCCTACGAACTGCTGCGGCGGCCCGACACTTTTGGGGGCACCATCAAAATAAATTACGGCTTATAAAACATCTGTCGGATAGTGTTCCATAAGTGTAGCATAAGTGTGTGTGTGTGTGTGTGTGTGTGTGTATGTGCCGCACTTAGAATTCTCATTAATTAGTTGAGGAAACATTTTTTAAGTGCTCCACTTTGACGGGCTGCTGCTGTTGCGCTTTCATGTAGCCCATTCCGCACCCAATTGCCGCTGCTCCCCGCCCGCCCCGGCATGCCCCCATGCCCCGTTCATCATCCTGCAACTATTTTCAGTCGTGTCTGACACACTTTGGCAGCAATGAGGCATCCACACATTTGTTTACAATACGCGCATCTTCTGCTGAGCTACTTCCAACACGCACACACATCCTCCCCCCTACCCCACTTCCCCACTCCCCCACTCCCGTTGCCGCCAATTTGTTTGTCTTTGGGCACTTTGATGGATTATATGCGGGGTGTCTATTGAACGGCATTCTTGGCCATAAGTAGATTCCTTGTGGCCTGACAGCAAGTGGCAAAGAAACGGAGAGCAGCAAGGTTGTCCCCTGCTCCCTGCTCCCTGCCCCCTGCCCCTTGTGGCATCCATTTGTTAATCAAATTATTTGTGTGCCTGGAACCTTGAAGTAATCTCCAATCTAATGTCTTCTGCTAAACTAAACATATCCATTCATTAGTTTATGTGCCCAAGCATCAGTGTAAAGTGGCTGTGAATATTTTGGTTCAAATATCGATCTGCTGGCGAAACTTGCAATTGAACATAAAACAACATAAATTACAAACTTTTTATTTATCATTACAAACAACTTTATTGAACAGCCAGCAATAGCATATATCAAGCATTTCAGAAGTCGAGAAATTTATGTTCCTGCGTTTGCATGCTGAGAACAATTTATTTGACTCTCAATTTCAGGAAATATCTGAGTAGAAATTTGTAGAACTTTCAAATTAAGCGATCTATCAGTTAAAAGTTGGTATCTTCAATGGAGACCCAAAACTAAAATGGTCATAAAGTTATGTTCGTGAACTTTGACCCAGACTTTGGTTCACGCCTTGGATAATCAGATATGACATATTTTCGAAAAAATTTTACAAAAAACAATCAAATTTTCCATTAACAATTGCAATTTGTATATATTTTCGAAAGAAAAAAATATGGGCTAAAATTGATCTCTACCTAAAATTGGCCTCTACCACACATGGCTAGATATATATATATATATATACATATATCCAATTGTTGGGACCAGAGTTATTTATGCTTTGGGTCTGGATCTCATTGAAAAGTTTCTTTATTTGCCTCGAACACTTTGAATCTTTTCTTTCTTTCTTTTGTAACATATATTAATGTTTATTTTTTTAACACTTTTCAGAAAAGAAATCTTAAAAATTTGCATGCAATTTTTCATTGAATATGATTGAATTTAAAATATGAAACATAGACATGATTTCTGAATTCTTATTTATGGAGGAAAATATGTCATAATTACTGAGCTTATAATAAATTGACTAGTTCTGTGGACTAGCCGAGTTTCGAACCCAAGCCTGGATTCGGTTCACGAACCGAACTTCAAGGTAATTACCCGATGGTAATTTTCCCACTCATATACTCGATCCATGGCAATATTTTCTCGAATGCCTACAAATTTCCGGGTACTAGCTAATGTTCAACAGAAGTTGACCTCTAAAATATATGTTCGCCTGTACGAAGGCAATTGAATGTGGTTCCGTTTGCATGCGTGAAAGAAGTACTTACGTTTGCAGCGTTGCAAGATTTGTGGCGGAGGCGCCAACGCCGCATGCCGTGGAATGCATTTGCCAGCAATTGTTGTTGTTTTTGTTCTGCCACCGATACGCTAAGTGCGCTGCCGTTGCAGTTGCAAATTCAATGAATTCGCAACAGCTGTGTGCACAGATTTCGCGCTAAATGTTGCAAATGTTTATGCCAAAGCACGCAGAATTAAGAAAACAACAAAAATTAAAAAAAAAAAATAACACAAAATAACAACAACACGCACGCACACTCCAAAACAAGAAGAAGAAGTAGAAGTAGAAGAAGAAAAAGAGGCGCGGACCGGCGGACACAGAGCAGAAGAAATGAAGCTGAAGCGAACTGCGATATAATACGGTATCGGCTTGGCGTATGCCTGAGCCAGCTATGGCCAGTGCTTGGCTTCAATTACAGTTGCAATTGCAGTTACAGTTACAGTTACAGTTACAGTTAGAGTTTAAGGTTTGTGGTTATGCGTATCCACAGCTCGGCGCACGACGTTCAATGTCTGACTGAATTTCCATTTCCGCTGAGGATGCTCCGAGACCACCAAACGTCGGCGGCGGCGGCGGTGGCGGTGGCGGTGGCAGCGCAGCTGCTGAAGCAGCGGCAACAGCGTCAGCGATGGCTACTCCCATCCACACACACACACACACATACACACATATATATCCACCCACGTGGCTGAATGTCGTTCTTGTTGTTGTTGTGCTTGATATTGCTTAGCATAAACATACAAAAAAAGAAGGAAATTAAATGCCGCTGCGCTCTGCTCATGTGTTGGCGTTTGCCTTTGTGTGCGTGTGTGTGTGTGTGTGTGTGTGTGTGTGTGTGTGTGTGCATGGGCAATGAATTTTAAACACACACACTAACGCACACTTAGCAATGCATGTCATTGTGTTCACATTTTTAAAACAGTCAAATCAAAGAACATAAACTAAAGTCAGCAGCGATCGAAAAATGCGCTACGTGGCGTATGGGTAATATGTGTTAGGTACAATTAATGATTAACTAAAGCTTAAGCCAAACTGAAAACAAGCCTATTACAATCCTATACAATTTATTCCCAATTCACATAGAAAGAGTGAAAGTACGAATAATATGAAAGAGTTACGAAAAATTGAAGTTTAGATATAACAAAAATAAAAATAAAATATGAGAGTTAATTATGAAATATCAAATTGAAATAAGATTCAAATAGATGTCAAAATAAGCTTAGATTAACGAAAAACTGTTGATTGCAACTCGATATGTAAGTATGTGTGTGGGTGTGTTTGTGTGTGTGTGTGTGTGTGTGAGTGTGTGGGTGCACCTTTGCTTGTACAGATATATGCATATATGGAGATACGGGTGCATGCATGTTACAGCTAACGTAAATTAAAAACAAAAACAAAAACTATTCAATTGCCCTACTATGCGATTCTCATGAACTCAAGTGAGGCACCTCAGTTTTTAGGTATCGATTATGGGTATTGTGTTAACAATCTCTAGTGGCAATATTATCTTTTTAATCATTGCTCCCACCTTAACTTTAATTTGCTATTTGCAGTCTATCTCTCCCTTGGGTTCACTTCCCCCTCTTTCTCCAGCTTTTGTTCTGAAGGCAATTCATATCTGGGCACAAATTAGCTTCTAGTGTTTTTATATATGAAGAGAATTTATCCAAAATCTTAGCCAAGCGAATGCTTCAATTTTGCATTATAATTTTTGGTGCTATATTTTATTTTTTTATTTGGTAGAGCATCTGGCAAGCGTCGACAAATGTTGTCTCGTGCCCGGCTGCTGGTCACGTCAATAGTCCATTCCAGAGTTCTTCTACCACATGTCGTTGTTGTTGTTGCTGTTTTTCTTGTTGTTGTTGTTGTTGTTGTACTGCTGGATGCTGTGGTGTGAATGAATCACAGCCAACAAAAATATAAAACAGGGCAAAAAACTACATAAAACGAATGTGTAAAAGGCCAGCTAACACACACACGCACACACACACAAGCACACACCTACAAGCATTTAGGCCTGCCCGTTGCCACGCCACTTGTTTGTTTACATTCGCAGCATCTCCAACCCACCCCCCACCCCCCCCTAATCTGCTCGCCGATCGCATATACGCCGACTATGACGATGAGGCCCGCCGCTAAACTGGGCGCGATATGAGATTTTCCAGCTGGCGTCCAATAAAGCGCAGCGGAAGAGCCAACAAAAACTATGCCTATGGCCAGGTTCCATGCATGTATGTGTGAGTGAGTGTGTGTGTGTGTGAGTGTGTGTACGCTTAACAGACGCATTTCCATGGAGCCAAGTGGCTGACACTTGGCCACTTGACATTGACGGGGCGACTTGTGACACTTGCTCCCCAACACCCTCAGACGCGCCTGTGCTATAAAACTTCGCATTGTTATGTGCCCCAATGTGTGTGTGTGTGTGTGTGTGAGAATGTATCTCATAGTTACAGAAACGAAACGCACTTTGCCACCAAGTAGCCGGGCGCAGTGACATCAGTGCGACGTTTTTAGCCAACGCAACGTTGCCATTTTCGGCTTCGGGCCCCCTAGACAAATATTCGATAGATAACCGACAAAATTTCTATCCATTAATTTACAACTGGCACACAAAGCCAAAAAATAAAACACAAAAAACCAATGCAATTACCAAGAAAACGAACTAGAAATACGCTCTCGAAGACCTGAACAATAAGAGAAATTCAATGTTTAACAGTCGATTAAAGTCCGCTTGAGTTTGTCACGAAATGTGGAACGCATCGGAGGCGAAATCTCCGACACCATAAAATAAAATACAAAATTATTAAAATTACATTTTCTTGATGCTGTTCAAGCCTAGTAGTTATAGGTCCGTTCTTGAATCTATGCAAAGGTTCGACTCTTCATGGCAATGGCCAATATATATGTCGGTTTTTGGTCGGATCGGAATACTATATCTTCTAGCTGCTATGAGAATGAAAGTTTTTGCATGAACAACATTCTTTTTCATGTCAAGATATCTTTACCAACTCGACACACGCCTTGCTAAATAATCACATTTTTATCAAAATTGGACAAGTGTATCATAATTACATGTCGAGGAATTAGTTTTCATTTTTCATTTTTGTTCAAGACATCTTGAGCTAAGCCATACCAAATCGAACTACCATATCATTAGGCCTCTACAGGCACAAACGGTCCGATATGAATCTTCTGCATTAAAGCGTTTCTATGTCATATGCCAACAAGGGTAGTTTATATTCCTATGAGGCTCGATATTTCTCGTTTAGGTATCATTTTTATTTTCTTTATTATTATTACTATCATTTTTATAATTTTCTTCTTTATCATTATTAATATCATTGTCATTATTATTATATTATTATTATTATTATTATTATTATTATTATTATTACTATTATCATTATTACTATCATTATTATATTATTATTATTATATTATTATATTATATTATTATTATTATATTATTATTATTATTATTATTATTATCATTATTATTATTACTATTATTATTATTATAATTATTACTATCATTATCATTATTATAATTATTATTATCATTATTATTATTATCATTATTGTTATTACTATTACTATTATTATTATTTTTATTATTAATTTACATCATTTATATTTAGTTACGAACCGAACGACAAAGTACAAAAGCTCTTGCTCTTGCTCTCTCTCTCTTACTCTTACTCTCTCCCTCTCTCCCTCTCTCGCTCTCGCTCGCACTCGCTGGCAAATGGCTAACAAATTGCTGGCCTAGAGAAACTTTTTTAATTGTCTGTGATTTTGGATTTTGTTGTTATGTTTATAGAGTAAACCCATTGAAATTGAAGTCGCGTGGTGATTAGCGATTAGCGCCATTTGATAGCCGACATCAATAGTCAGCAAGGGGCGCAGCGCTTCCGGTGGCCAGTTTCCCCGTTGCCCGTCTGCGCCCACGGCCAACTTCAGCTAATGGAGCCGTTCATTGGCCTCTTCGTGCTGCCTTGGTTTATTTATTCAGCTTGAGGCCACGTCCGTTGCATATTAAGGGCCATAAAACGATGCATAAACAACAACAACAACAACAACAACGACTACATCCTAATCCAAATAGGGATAGACGAGCGGATCACGGGAGGCGCGCAACGCTTGCCAAAGACTTTGCTTGATTTTGCCCTCGGTAACTTTGGAGGCCGCCTTCAGCTGGCTGTACGGCGGAGGCGGAGGCAGACGCTGGCGCTGCTGGAGGCGTCGTCGCTGGCGCCCCGAGGTCAGCCAAAGCAGCTCCGCCTGCCTGCGCCGACGTCGCTGCTGGAGCGTGCGGGAGGCACAATAGGGTCGCATCGTCACATAGTAGAAGATCTCAATGACAGAGAAAATGCTGAAGCCCATGAACAGACCTAACAGGCCGCCAGTGTTGGCTGCAAAGGGAATAGCTCAAAAGGTGGGAACTCTTGAGGAGCTGCAACTAGACTCACACAGAAACTCGGTGAAGCCGAACATCTCGGATTTGGTGGTGCTACGAAAGTTGTTGGTGAGATAGTAAAAATGGAGTATGGATAGATCGTAGTCTCCGCCAATGTGGCTGACATTGAACAGCTTCTCGGGCAGCTCCTCGCCGCTCTGATAGCTCGTCCCGGCGACAATTGTCGAGCTAGTCATAATCGACTTGTAGGTCAGCTCAAAGCAGCCGGGCCAACAGTTCTCGCAGGACAGATTCGTTTTCGATGACTCAATCTCGGTCTGTATGCGATTGGTGCAGTTGTTGTCATTGGGCCCGCAGACCCGTGCCGCCGGGTCAATCCGCGGCAAATAGTAGAGCACACAGCTGCAGTCGCGCAGCAGCAGCTTCGCCTCGCACTCCAGCTCGCAGTTCTTGCGCGAGTAGGTACGATAATAGGCCAGGTCGTTCTCATCCGAGAACAGGCAGCGACGCACCGTTTTTTTGATCGAACGTATGCTGGGCGTGGCATCCTCATAGACCGGCTCGATGGGTATGCGTGCCTCGCGGCCAGCACTGACCACAAACCCAAAGTTGCTCACCTTGGGCAGCTCAGCGGGATTATGCACCAGCACCTACAGCCGGAAAGGGAGAGAGAGAGAGAGAGAGAGAGAGAGAGAGAGAGAGAGAGAGTTCTTAATGATTCCTCAATTGCATGGAACTTGTTGACCTTGAAGCCATTGCCCATGGACTTGGTGCAGTAATATTCCGCCGTTGAGGCATTCAACACGACGGTCAGTCCCATGCGACTGCCCGTGCCGCCGGACGTCCTGGGATAATAGTATTCCGGCAATTTCTTAGCATAGCCCAGCTCCGGCGTCCAATCGATGGGCTCGTAAATGGAATTCTCCGCCGCCGGCTCGATGCGCACATCGTCCGTATAGTTGCGAAACAAGTAGATGGGATCCAGCGCATTGAACGTGCAGCACAACCCGTCGTCGGTCAATATCGAGTTGAAGATCATCGGGCAGCTCTCCTTGCGCGACCCAAAGCTGCAGTGCAGCAGCATCTCATCGCACGGCTGCGCCACCTCAACCAGCAGAGCCTTGAAGTACGTCCAGGTGCCGGTGTACGTGATCTTCTGGTCGTCGCCCTTGCTGCACAGACTCATCAGCAGCGAGTAATTTCCACTGGTGCTATGAACAGAAAGCGAACAAAAGAAGTCTATTCATATGTGTCTGCAGAGCTTTTCGTTACAAAAAAACAACCCATGCCTTATCTCATTTGGAATGGAATTCATACTCAATGGGCTGGGAACTTTAATCTCCTCCACTGAAATACTCGACTACTTGTCGTACTTTTTTTGTGTCTTCCTTAAATTCAACTCTTATTTTTGTAATTTCTTCTATTATGATAGTTTTGTTATTTCTCTTTCCTTAACTGAAATTCCTTCATATCAACACATTTTTGCGTTTCTTCTTAACTCTTGACTACTTAACTGAAATTATTCAACATCTTACGACATTTGTGGACCTTCTCTATTTTAAGTATCCTTAACGTCATTTATGAAATATATTACGACATTTTTTGTACTTTCTCTAGTGTTTGGCATCCTTAACTGAAATTCTTTAGAACATTTTTGCATCCTTGCTTCCTTATGTCATCCTTAACTGAAACTCTTCAGAAAAGAGGCTACCAAAAATGTTATTGCATTCTTCACATGCTTACAAACCAATTTGCTTGGGAAATCAATTGTTACCAAAGCTTTGCATCGGATCAGGCGCTGCTTTTACTCACCGTGAGATGCGCTGGACGCGACTGCGCAGAGCCAGGTTAAGATTGCATATGGTAATGGCCGGAAAAGGAATGTTGCTGGTCAGCTGTTGCTTGGCGCTTGTTGAGATGATGATGGGCGAGGCGCTCCACTTGATATAAATGTTGGAAATGAAGAAGCCCGAGAGGATGACGACAAGCACAAAGGATATGCCAAAGAAGACTCTGCCATTAAATATTATAACAATTATATATATATACATATAGATAAGAGTTTAACGCAGAAGTGCAAACTTTTCAAAGATCTATATAAAAGGTCATTTAAGGCGCGGGGCACAAGATAGTACGGGTAGTTTGAGTACGTAAAGCATTGTCGAAAATCGAAGAAAATACCGGGCAAGGCCGGGTAATATCTGCTATGCATTTTAAATTATACTAAATACGACTAGATTTCTAAGTGTGCGTGTGTGTAAGAAATTACAGAAAACATATTTTTAGGTATCGCCCTACTATGCGAATCTCAAAAAGTCTAGTTAGCCTCACACATTTCGTGCTTTGAGTATACGTTTATTTTTGCAAGTCACATCTCACCTAATTCAATTACCTCTTGTCTATCTGAGTTATTTATTCTCTCCTTCTCTACACTACCCCCCCCCCCTCTCTCTCTCTCTCTTTCTCTCTCTGTCGTTCTTTCTCCTGCTCTTGCTCTCACCATTTACCTGTCTACTTCTTTTGATTTTTTTCAGGGAGGTGTACCCAGGAAAGGCTGCTTTTAGATGGCATCTAGCTAATCGTTTTTGTTGATTTGTTTTCCTGACTAAGTAACATAATATAGGAGGGGGACGTACCGCTCTGGTATGGTAATCCGTTCTTCGGCTATATACTTAAGTCCATGCAAGGAGCTGTTCCGCAGATAATATTTGATGCTCTTCTTGGCCGCCTCGAGGCTGCACATCGTTTGCTCATCATCAAGGGAGTCATCACTGTGACTGTGACTGTGACTGCGATTGTGAGCGTGAGCGTGACCGTGCACGTGTTGCTGCCTGTTGGCCGCCAGGTGGGGCTTTTGTGCTTTGCTATCCCCATAGAATCTCATGATGCGACTAACCGCACGGCCCGTCACGCAAGTCCCATTTATACGAGCTGCTCGAACAGTTCGATCCAATCGCAGCTCATCAGCTTTAATCATATTGACCCTTGGCAAATACCAAAGCAGCGATAACTCCGCCAAATTGAATTGCGACATCGGCCACGGCAAATGCCGCTTAATGCACACTGCCCAAACTGTGCGTGGGCGTGGCAGGCGACTGCAGCAGTGTTTGCCCAATGCAAAGAGGATTCACCTAGCTGGGCGAACTATGCAAATGCGTACAACTTTCGCACTGGTGGCAAAGGCAGCGCCTGCCAGCTCCCAGCTCTTAGGTCCCCGTTCCCGGATCCAGTGGCCACATCCACATGGTGCCTGCAGCGCTCTATAAAAATAGCTGAGGGCGTAAAATACGAGTACATTGTATAAACAAAAACAAAAAAAAACCAAAGCGAAAAACAACAACGGAACAAAAAATACACAAAACTTAAAACGAAACAAGTTCACATTTTGCAGTCGGGTGCAACCAACTGCGGCATGCTCGTCATATTTATTCAAAGATATATCCAATTTTTGGCTTGCCACGCCCTCAATTTTATGATTGATCTTTTGAAGAAGTTCACTGCAAACTTTATTCCAAAGATGGTCAACCTAACTTGAAAACTGCGGCATATGCAGAGATCATTAGAGGTCCACCTACTAATGCCCGCCTAACACTTTCTATATACATATATTCCAACAGCGAGAAAGATGATCGGGCAGAATCGGGACTTTGCAGAAAACCAATATACGCCTTTCACTCCTTGAACGAGTATGAAAACTCACACTGTGGCACACTGTGGACATAAATTATGGCCTTTAAGATCGGGATTCGCTTATAGATGAATGGATTTGGCAGAGAAATCATCTGGTACGAAAACTATATGGGAAATCAAATAAATTGTGATCGGCTTTATTTTTGGGCATGGATGCCATGGAACGCGTAATACTTTTAAATGAAAACTAAAACAAATTTCTGTATGACATCACAAGTCGCTTATGGATTTTCGTAAAGATTTTCGGAAATTTCTAGAAATCCGAAGCTACGCCCACTCAGCCCGTTTTCTACACCAACTAGACCTCAATTTTCCGAAAAGTGTGTAGAAAACATCACAAATGCATTTTTAGAACATTACTGGAAATAGGTTACAAGCCGATCGCGTGGTAAACGCAACAAGATTTCATACAACCGTTTCCACCAATTTTCCACAGTTGCCTGTGGAATTATACAAATCGACGTCTTAGTTGATGCCCAAACGGTGAATTATGACAGATATGAGGCGACTAATAGAGGAACCAGGTTCTTCCATCCGTGTGATTGTCGGACACGGGAACACCTTATATAACGTACGAGATGACAGGATTACATAAGACATTTTCCTAGATCCCTTAAAACCATGGATTAACTAGTTCCGAGACTGCCCTGCATTTGATATGAGTACGATTTGAGATGCCCTATCCTCTCGTTAGAAGACTATAGAAGATTGTAATAGCTTAGGCGGATCAAAATATTTTGAAAAACAGAACATGATTTATATAAGTACCGATTCTTGCAATATATCTGTATGTTATGGTATAGAAAGGATATTGCTTGAAAATGTTAACTTGGCATTAGGCAAAATTTGTAGAAAAACAAAAAAAAAATGTTTTTCATTCTCAAGAATCAAGAAAGTACAAATACACCTTACGGTATCGGATTCATTTTGAGTTTCTAACAAACTTAAGATACCCTCGCAAGTTCAAGTTTAAATGTTTCATATGCTTTTCGATTTCATGCCAATTAGATTCTATAAGGTAAAATGGGCGCAGTTCATATATCTTCCGCTCTCCTCTAAAGCATAAAACTGCCATCGGCAGCTTTAACTTTTCTTTCTAGAAACAGATTTCAATTATGGATTAAATGAGAAGACTTCAATGGAGCTGCATTTCATACTTCGACTTTTTGTTATGTTACAATTCATTCTCTTCACATTTGTAAACAATGGAATATATATATATATATAAATGTAAATACTATGTGTAAAACTGAGTAAATAAAATTGTTTTAAAATGTGTGCGTGTGGGAGTGTGAGTGTGTGTGTGTATGTGTGTGTGTGTGTATAATTATCTAGTTGTTGTTAAATTGGAAGAAATCAACATTGAGATCCAAAATAGCCGCATTGGGCGTCTCCTTCATGCTGAGCGCCTCGACGGCATTGTCGCTGGCATGATCGTAATGTGGCAGCATTGCGCCCGCCACATGGCCAACGTTGGGCGGCGCCACTGCCACCGGTGGCTGCATAAGATCGCCAACGTTGCGCAACAGGCTCTCCTCGGATGGTGGCAGCAACTTGCCGCCAGCGGACAGATTTAAACGTTGAGCAGCTTCATCGGTCAGCGTGTCGTCGAGGGACATGCTCAAGCCCGGATAATCGACCAGATTGCGTGCACTTGGCACAGTGCTGGCATGCAACAGTTGTTGCAATTCCGGTTCCGGTGTGGGCGCCTGCGCCGATTCCATTGCCGACATGTCCAGCGCATACTGACCCTCGGGTATGCCCAGCACGCGTGCAATGCGTGCATTCACAAAATGCAGACCGGATGTGTTGCGTATGAGTCGCGTGCTACGCAGATGCAGCTGCTCCACAAAATCATTCAACTCATGCAGAAAAAGATCGGCGCGCTGCTCCTCGCTCAGATGTCCGTATCGCTGCAGCTGAGCCGTCAACAGTCCAAACAGTGTCGGCACATAGCTTTGGGCCAATTGCTGATGCTGCTGTTGTGTTGGTTGCGCGTGTTCCTGTTGCTGTTGCTGCTCTTGCTGCTGTCGAGCGGCGATGGCGCTGGGCATATGCTCTGGGTACTTGACGTAGTGACGCTGCAAGCGACGGCCCAAAAAAATCTTGCTGCAGCCCGGACAGATTGCGTTTGGCGGCACAGCGCGCTCCCTTTGCACCACCACCTCAACGGCTGGCGGCTCTTCTGGCTCAGCAGCTATTGCCGGTGCACGATAGTCTTTGTCCCTCAGCTCTGTTACAAGCAGCTGCAACATCTGCGCCGAATTTGGCGCTGCTGTGGCCGGCTGTGGCAAGGCGGCGCGTATAATGCGTCCGGAACGCGTCCGCAGCATAGTATCCGCATCTGAGGCAGGGATCGGCTCATTCGTGGCTTTGTTCGCAGTATCGCTTGGCGCTGCAATGGACAATGGCGCCTTTGTCGGGACGGCTTTGCCTGCTGGCGCCGTGCGTTTGCGCGAACGGTTCACTTTTAAAGACGTTGTCATCGCTGCTGAACGACTGCTCTGAAGTGGTTGCATGCCCATGCCTACGGGATCCATGCAGCGATAGATGGTCTTCTGGTGGGTAACGGCATCCGTGCGCACGACCTCGTTGCGCTTGCTGCCCGTTAAGAAAGATTTTAGTTGTCTATGGGTCTATAAAGAAGCTCACTCACCGATCAATCACAATGTGATCCTCTTTGGCCAGGCGGTATAGATTGTAGGCTAGTTTGGCCAATGAGTCGCAGTCCTTGTTGGCCACGTTTACCAGCTCCGAAGCAGCGGCATCTGCATCAAACTGATAGCATTCGGTTAGATGTGGCGGCGCCACAGCAGATGGCAAAAAGTCAACGCAGTTCAGCAGCGACTGATGGTAGTCGCCGCTATTACTGTTATTATGATTATTATGATTGTTGTCGATGCTGTTGTTGTTGCTGCTGCTGTTATTATTATTATTGCTGTTGCTGTTGTTATTGTTGTGCTTTTGCTCAGCTGCCGCGGCCTGCAGCTGGATAACAGCGCTGTCCAGCTGCTCATCGGGCAGCTCGATTGCAAAACCAAGCAGCGCATCTTTGTGAAAATTGCAGTTGTTGCTTGGCTCGCCACTGGCGCCGTTAAGCGGCACCAGCAAATTCTTCATCACTTGCAGCCACTATCAGGAGCGCCAAGAGTTGCTAATTGCAAGGTCACGTTGTATACTTAACGTTTCAAACAACAAAAAATTGCAATTTGTTTTTGCCATTCACACATATCGATAGGTATTCGGATGCACCAGAGTTGCCTGGTGACTTACGATATGTGCAAAAACATCGCAATGAATCGATTAGCGGCAATAATCGATTTAGTCATATTCACATCCCTATTATGAACATTTACTAAATTTGCGGCTAAAACTGCAAGCGTAATTTATTAAAACCCATCAACAAACACTTATTATAGCCAGTTATACAATTCTCAACGCCGTTCAGTTTGCTGTTGTTGAACGGATTAACTCCCACCTTCCCTACCCTTTGCACCGTCGGCGACCCAAGACCGCTTGCGATTTTATTTTTTTTTTTGTGCTGTGCATTTTGGCCAAGATGTCGAAAAATAAACTTAATTTAGTGCTGCCGCCGGTAAATGTGGATACAACTGTTGCTGCCGCACAGGTGGCACCAACGCCGCCATTTAAAACACCATCGGGAACAGAGTAAATAAGATTTCTATTTTCCATATATATATATATATATATATATATATATATACGTTTTAAAATGTCCAACAACATTTTTAATTTTATACCTCCCAACCGCCCACATTCCAAAGAAAATAAAATAGAAAAGTGCTGTTGTAGATTTTGCTTTTGCGATTGCTTGGCAAAATTATAACAAACACATTAAGATAAACACACATAGACACGCCTACAGATAACTTGTATACATATATGTGTGTAGGCATTTACATATGTGTGCAGAAATTCCCCCCCCCCCCCCCCCCCCCTAATTTTAATGTTCCCCCCGCTAACCTACTCCCTGTCCAAACCAAAATGTTGCTGCTTTTCGTTTTGTTCTGCAAAAATTCATTAAAAAGTTAAATTAAAGAACACATAGTTTGCTGGGGAAGCCAAAAACGAGCATCGATGCGCTAACGGAAACATTGGAGGGCCTGGACATGGATGACACGGAGCGCAAGCGAATAAAAGTGTTCCTCAGTCAGAAAGAGAAAATCGGCGAACTCTCCGAGGAGGATCTGGAAAAGTTGGGCGAACTCGGCTCCGGCAATGGCGGCGTTGTTATGAAAGTGCGCCACACCCTCACACACCTGATTATGGCACGGAAACTGATCCATTTGGAGGTGAAGCCGGCGATCAAAAAACAAATCCTGCGCGAGCTAAAAGTGCTGCACGAATGCAACTTTCCCCACATTGTTGGCTTCTATGGCGCCTTCTACAGCGACGGTGAGATAAGCATCTGCATGGAATACATGGACGGCGGCTCCCTTGATCTCATATTAAAGCGCGCCGGCCGCATACCCGAATCGATACTCGGACGCATCACGCTGGCGGTGCTGAAGGGGCTCAGCTATCTGCGGGACAAGCATGCGATCATCCATCGCGATGTCAAGCCAAGCAACATACTCGTCAACAGCAGCGGCGAGATCAAAATCTGTGATTTCGGCGTTTCGGGTCAGCTAATCGACTCGATGGCCAACTCATTTGTGGGCACGCGCAGCTACATGTCGGTTAGTTAACAAAAACACTTCCTATTTTGGTCAAAGTGAAAAACTGCTCAGCGAAATTATCAAACTACTTAATTTGAGCACTTTTTCTTTATGGCCACAAACTAAATTTAACTAATATCCAATGTTTCTTCTGAGAAAATGTAACTGAAAATTATTGTTGCATTCTTTTCTCAGCAAATGCTCTTCATCAAAAAACAAGCTCGGTTTTCAAGTCCTGTAACCGGGATATACAGAATACAAATACTATAGTAACATATTTTAAAATACAGTAGCCGCTCTTAATTTAGAATTTGAAGAAATTGTTGCTGTCTACAAATCCATTTTATGGTATTTGTAATATAGAACATTTATAGGTTGGCCCCTAAAAACATTAATTCTTAAATATAATAAACTTCAATTTATGCGATTTGATGACATATTTTCTATATATTTATAAGATTTGTGGATGCAAATCCTCGCGGAAAATCCTGGGCTTTAATGAAAGCAGAAGCAAACCAAATAAATCCAATAGCCCATATTACCGATATTCAAAATTTGAGTAAATTATCATTTCTGGAACCGAAGCGTTCTATTCTTCAAGGGGCTACTGTATTTTAAAAAAAATTTCTGTATATATTAGTAGATTTGTTCTAAAACTCAACATCATATTTAACAATTGAAGCCACATTTGAAAAAAGTTACTTTTAAACATTAATTAAAACAAGACTGAGATTAACATTTTTTTGAAGTTGATCAGATCAAAACGCACCATTATCAGAATTTTCTTGTTGTCGCGCTGATTGATAAACGTATGTTCCATTTAACACTAAAGTAATTAACAACAATAAAGTATGATGCATGTTTCAAATAGATTAGCTTAAATTCCATACAATTTACAATTATATGTATGCATCCGGCATCCTAATGTTGAAATGTTTTTGCAGCCGGAACGACTGCAGGGCACACACTATTCGGTACAGTCGGACATTTGGTCGCTGGGTCTGTCGCTGGTTGAGATGGCCATCGGCATGTATCCAATACCGCCGCCAGATTCGTCAACGCTGGAGACCATATTCGCAGAGAACGCCAATGAGGATGGCAATCAAACGGTGCTGGAGCCCAAAGTGATGGCGATATTCGAGCTGCTCGATTATATTGTTAACGAGCCGCCGCCGAAGCTGGAACACAAGATATTCTCAAATGAGTTCAAGGACTTTGTCGACATCTGTCTCAAAAAGCAGCCGGACGAGCGTGCCGATCTCAAGACGTTGTTGGTGAGGCGAAGTTCATTTTCGCAGCTGTTCTTGTTGTTGCCATTATTGCTATTGTAATACTGATGCATTTGCATTCCCATTGCCAGAGCCATCCATGGATACGGAAAGCGGAGGTGGAGGATGTCGACATATCGGGCTGGGTATGCAAGACAATGGACTTGCCGCCATCGACGCCGAAACGCAATACATCGCCCAACTAATTAGCATTCCTTTATTTCACACTCTCGCGCACGCACATACACGTTATTTATTTGTATGTAGTTATGTATGTACTTGTTGTATCAACTTGCTCCCACACTCTACACACTCTGCCGCTCCACTTTCTGGCACTTTGTGTGCGTGCGTTCGCTGTCACTGGCCTCAGCACTCAAACAAACGAGCACAAGCATACGCAGACGACACAAGGAAAGAAAGGAGAGTGCAAAAACTGAACAATACAAAAAATTAAATGAGTCGGAAATTGTATTCGCCATCTAACAAATCGCCTAATTGAAATTGTTTTGGCCCAACTACTAGTAGGCCGGGAATTCAATGTGTTATAGGTTAGCATCTGGGGAACCGAGACGGAGCTCCTGCTCATTCGTTGACTGGTTCGCCTTGTAGCATAACAAAATTTTCTGACTTATCCGAAAAAAGTTTTATTTTTTCTACACACAAACTTAAATATCTTGTCCAAATATGTCGAACTTTTTGAAAGTATTTCGATTGGGACAAAACGTGTTGGCCAACTGTCGTGTAGCCAAATTCCAACGCTCAATTTCGGTCACTGCATTCCAGTTGCAAAATTTGAAGGGAGAAGCCTTAAAGAAACCGATGCCAGAAGAGGAGAAGCCCGCATCGCCAACTCCAGTAGGTTTGACCCCATCGCAGCGCAATTTGGTTGAGTTCGTTACCGGCGAAATACTGGAGGAACGCCGCGTACAGTTGCAGTTGGAACCGCCATACATGATTGACGACTTTACTGGACATTTTTCTGGCTCCAAGGTGGAGCTAATAAGAGAGTCACCTGACGAACGCATTAATATTTTCTTTAATGTTAGCAAAAGTGTGCCGCGTCGGAATGATGAGACCGGCGATCTGACTCCAGTGCGCAGCGTTCCGAAATTTGAGGTGCTAATCAGAAGAAATGATTTGCTGCTATCAATATTTTGTGTATTTAAGCCGTGCGCCTTTGATGATGTGGAGCCGGAGTCCTTGGATCAGCAGCCTCAAGAAAATGATATATTTGAGATTCAAGATCTATCGCTATACAATCACGGCTGGAATGACAGCTGCTTTACCATTGATGCATCGCTCATCGATGACAATCTACAAACCATGATTCTGGAGATGCTTGAAGAGAAGGGCATTACGCATGAGTTTGCTAGAAAGCTTTCCGACATGGCCACTGCGCGCGAGCATGCCCTATATATTGAGTTTTTGGAGAATCTATCTAAGTTTACTGTGGGCCTACCGCAGCCAATTAAACAGGATGCAAACTAAGCTTTCCCAAACTACTTATTATTTATAAATAGTCCCTAATAAATGCGAATGTAATCCGAGCAACAATTTTTAAATTATTAAAAGCGCGCGCTTGCTTAAACGCTTTTTGACAGTGTGGCAACGCCGTCGCAAAGCCCAGTTAACGTCAACAGTCGAGCTTTGCTGGCAACGCCGTTGTAACCTGTGACGACAGCACGCAAAATGAAAACATCAAACGCTGTTATTGTTGTTGCGCTTGTTATTGGTCCACTATTTGCCAAATTAAATATATATATAAATAGGCAGCTGTAGTTAGTTTGGATAAGTGTGAGTGTGTCGATTGTGCTTAGTCACGGATTCAATTTCAGTACGCAATTGCCATTAAATTGTTGAATGTATTTCCTGTGTAATTGCATTTGTAGTGAGACGCCAAAAGCTAGCAGCCATCCATCGGTCAAAGCGAGGGCAAAAACAAAGCAGCGGCGGCAGCAGCAGCGCTCAGTTCCGGACGCAGTAAAAGTTCTTTGTCTGCGCGAAGCAGCGACGCCTACCGCGACGGCCTGGGTACGTGCGTCGCTGTAAAATTTGCAGTTGTTTGTTGACAGCGAACGGGCGACGATTCGACGTTGACAGCGACGGCGGCGTCAACGGCGGCAGCGCACTGTTATAGTTGGAGTTGGTGTGCGAATGTGTATGTGTGAATATGTAAGTGTGCGAGACGAGAAATGCAAGTGCAACTAAACAAAGCAACTGCTTACCACGCGCCATAACAACAACAGAAGCTGAACAGTCAGTCAAACTAAGCGCTGCAACGCGGACGTGCGCGTCGCCAGTAAACAAAAGAAAGCTGGCCAAGCTGCTGCTGCTGCTGCTGCTGCTGCAACTGCAACAGGCAACAATACAAAGGACGAAGAAAACGCAACAGAGGCAGTTAACAAACCGTTAAAGGGCATTTGATTACGAGAGAAAATCAAACAAATCAAAATAAATAAACAAAAATGTCATCTGTGAATGTGAACCAAAAAGAGAGTCCCAGCCGCGACTCGACGGCCTCAACATCGGGACACATATCAATGATGGCCGAGAATACGCTGGAGTCCCTGTCCAGAGACTACAGCCTGGTCAGTCTCAATTCGGCTGGCAGCCAGGACGAGTTCTTTCGCTGTCGCGATCATGCGGACAGCGTTCTGAAGCGCATGCAGTTGTATGTGGACAGCCAGCAGCTGTGCGATGTGGTGCTCATCGCTGGCATTGATGGCAAGCGGTAAGTGGACGCCAAATGACAACAAATGGCCAGGCCAAACAAAGAATGGAAAGTTGTTGCAATGCGCAAAAGCAATTTTCCGCACACACCCATCCCCAGCCGCCAGCGCCGCGCCATCAACGAATTCGCCTCATTAGCAATTCACCATCCGGCACATGCCCGCCGCTCTCCCTCTCTTAGCCAAGCTAACGTCTGACCTTCACTTTAGCGCTGGCAGTTCACTCGGTTCTTTGTCTCTCTGTGTCCCATTCGCACACCAGTTTCCCTAGTCTCCAAGCAGTCGAAGCAGCAACGCAATTCCAACAGTAAACACAAAGCGCCGCACTAATTGCGTTTGCGATGCGTGCTCTCTCTTGCTTACTGCGGCGCTCTCTGCCAGCCAGATTGATCGCCGGAGAGCGGTGTGCGAGACAGAGATAGATATTGAAATGGAGCATTGAGCCGACTGATTGACGTGCATACTGCGCCAGTGCTGCCAATTGCGGCTGCAATAAAAACAGCTGAATATCCAATGTTAAAAATATCTGAATAAGCTTTCTGGCCACAGATTGGCAATAAACAGGATTTCTTTGTAGCGAGATGCAGAAACAAAAAGCTTAATAAGTTACAAATTTCAACCGTTTCCTGCTGACAATGTCTGAAAATAGCCACATTGGCAGCACTGGCCCCTGCACAGGGGTAAAAGTTGATTTGTTTTTGCACACAACAACAGTCAAGGTTTAGATAAGTTAATTATTTATTTGTATTGTAGATGCCCCTTTCAGTTGAGATTGTACATGTTTTTCCGTTGCATCAATTAACCCGTTTAAGACACAGCCACAGCATTTAAAAGTTCCTTTACTGACGATTTTCAAAGATAAAAATCAAGATCTTGCAAGTGTACATTGCAAGTTTGCAAGGTCACAGTTTGAATGCCACTGCGTTCGGTCACAGTTTTAGGGTCAGGATAGACTGGAGATTGCGGACTGCAGTGTTTATACATTAGATAAGCACAATGAATAGCATTTGCCTTGTTTTTACAGCGTGCCCGCTCACCGCTTGGTGCTATCCGCTTCGAGTGCATATTTCTCAGCAATGTTTACGGGTTCGCTGCGCGAGACCAAGGAGCACGAGGTTACCCTGGGCGAGGTGCACGGCGATGCGCTGCAGCTGCTGGTGCAGTATTGCTATACAGGATTCATTGAGTTGCGCGAGGACACTGTGGAAACTCTGCTGGCCACCGCCTGTCTGTTGCAGCTGAACTCTGTGGTGACGGCCTGTTGCAATTTCCTGGCACGCCAGCTGCATCCATCCAATTGTCTGGGCTTTGCATTCTTTGCCGAGCAACAGAGCTGCACGGCGCTGCTGCGGCTGGCGCAGGCCTACACCTGCCAATACTTTATGCAGGTGTGCCAGAATCAGGAGTTCTTTCAGCTAAACGCCGATCAGCTGGGCAAGCTGCTGTGCAGCGATGATCTCAATGTGCCATCCGAGCAGGATGTTTTCCACAGTCTGATGTCTTGGGTGCGCCATGATGCGCCCAATCGGGAGCAACACATTGCCGAGCTGCTGGCGCTGGTACGTCTGCCCCTGCTACAGCCGGCATTCATAATGGACAATGTGGAGAGCGTGTGCAGCGCCAATGAGTGCCAACAGCTTGTGATGGAGGCCTTCAAATGGCATCTTATGCCTGAGCGGCGTTCGCGCATTGCCACCGAACGCACCACGCCGCGAAAATCGACCGTCGGTCGACTGCTCGCTGTCGGCGGCATGGATGCCCACAAGGGCGCCATCACCATTGAGAGCTACTGTCCGCGCCTGGACAAGTGGACGCCTTGGAAGCATATGACTGGCCGGCGATTGCAGTTTGGCGCCGCTGTCATGGAGGATAAACTGATTTTGGTGGGCGGACGCGATGGACTCAAGACCCTAAATACCGTGGAGAGCCTGGACTTGAATACGATGGCCTGGGTGCTACTAAATCCCATGGCAACACCCCGTCATGGTCTTGGCGTGGCAGTGCTGGAGGGTCCGCTGTATGCGGTCGGTGGGCACGATGGCTGGAGCTACCTGAATACGGTTGAACGGTAAAGGCACCTCAATCTGAAGAAACCAACACGAACGAACTGTAATCAATATATTTCTTGTAGCTGGGATCCTCTTGCGCGCACCTGGAGCTATGTGGCGCCCATGTCCTCGATGCGTTCGACGGCCGGTGTTGCGGTGCTGGGCGGTCGTCTATATGCGGTGGGCGGACGTGACGGCTCCGTCTGTCATCGCTCCATCGAATGCTACGATCCGCACACGAATAAATGGAGCCTCCTCGCACCAATGAATCGACGCCGCGGTGGCGTTGGCGTAAGCATAAACAACCAGTTTTAATCATTTGCAACAGATCTCTATATGAATTAAACGCTGCAGGTGGCTGTTGCAAATGGTTTTCTCTATGCCTTGGGCGGCCACGACTGTCCGGCCAGCAATCCCATGGTGTGTCGCACCGAGACCGTTGAGCGTTATGATCCTGTCACCGATACCTGGACACTGGTAAACAACATTGCTAACTGAATTCTAACAATTTGCAATCGTTTAGCTAAAGAACTTTCCGTCAATTGATTAATTTTGACTGTTTCCCATCTTAAAACAGATTTGCTCGCTGGCTTTGGGTCGCGATGCGATTGGCTGTGCTCTGCTCGGGGATCGTTTAATTGTCGTCGGCGGCTACGATGGCAACACTGCGCTCAAAAGTGTCGAGGAATATGATCCGGTTCGCAATGGCTGGAATGATTTGTCGCCCATGTCGTTTCCGCGTGCCGGCGCCTGTGTCGTTGCCATACCGAATGTTATACCGCCAGCAGCTCCACAGCCGCCGGCCAGTGCTACAGTTTAGTTACGCTTCAATTATTGTTGTTGTTGATGTTGCTGTTGTTGTGTAGTTGTGTGTATGAGCTGTTGTGTACTGCTACTGCACAATGACCACTGCTATTCCTATTACCTTTTACCTATAACTGTTATTTTTATACCTACATTCATGCCTATGTACTACGCAACACGCGTTTGCATTCTGGTCCGCTCCTTTCGGGTCTGGCCAGATCTGGTCTGGCATTTGTTGGTACTTGGTACACACACTCGCTTAATTTTATCCGCTATTGCTCAAACGTAATCTCATGCCAAGTGATACAACAAAAAACAAACAACTAATCAGTCAATGCTCAAGCGCCTGCCCAGCGACCACCAGTAACCAGTGAATTAATGCATGCTGCGAGGCTTTCGAATGCATTCCCAACTAAATCGTTCTATATTTATATACATATCTTATGCATTTTGATATTATTCTGTTCTATATCATTTCATTCGTTGTATGCATCACATTCCATTATTTCCATACCAGGTATGTCAACATCATCATCATCTATGCTGTCGTACACCACATATTAGATGCATGTTCTCTTCTCCACCTGGTGTCAGTTTCATCTCACACACCTCTCACTTCCATTGAGCGTTCTGTATGCTACATAAGACTGCGCCACCCAATTCCTAAATGGCCTAACTATTTGCTTTTTGCTCATATATACGCATGCATGTGAAGTGTAAGACGAACGAACTACATATAGTTTATAGATAGTGCAAATTTACAAACAAAAAAAAAACAAAAGAAACCAATTAATAATATCACCATGCAGCAAGTTTGATAAAGTGGATGAATAGTTAACGGCTTTGGCTGTTTATTTTGCACTCCCATTATTATTTACATTTACTGTTTACTATTACATATGTATATGTGTATGATTACAAGCATTTATTTTTAATTGTCTATTATTATTTTCTTTCTTTTCCTTTTTTCGACGTTTTTCTCTCACTGCATTTACGCGTATTTTTTGTAGAAAAAGAAGAAGTGGAAGCCAGTCAGATTGGATCCAATCTGCTATAGGCGTCGTAGATCCGTCGAATTTGTCGACTACTATCATATGTAATTACGATAAAAACAAAACTATAAATATTTAAGAAAAACAATAGTAAGATCAAGCAAAAAACCAACACAAATGGTTACTTTTAAATAATACGTATTAATTTATACAATCATATATTTATATTTTTACACAATCAAAACAAACATACACTACGCATAAATGTATACACTGAATATGTATTTTTTGTAATAAAATATATTCTTTATTTATACGTTGCTAAATGCAACAATAAAATGAAAATTAAAGTGTAAAACTTATTGATAAGCTGTTAATATTTCAAATAATGGCCGTTGCTTTTTTTTATATCAACTATCAAGTATTTTGGTATTTTAAAAGTTCTTCTGGCCAAGATATACGGTCACATCGACGCAGTAACCACTTTAGTATTTTATACTGTTTTTCTGGTATATTTTAGTACTTGCACATTATTGACATTGAATTGCATGTACAATTCAATTAAACACAAATCCAATTAGCGCACATTTCAACTGGCGAGTTTGTTACAGTCGGCATCATGGATGCGGATCAACTGAAACGACTTGAACGCAAGGATATTGCTCACATCGCTGACATACTCAGCCAGTTTAATACAAAGGTAAACACACACCAGCCACTATTTTTCGTGCTGTGACTAATATTTGTTGATTGACTGATTGTGGTGACGCCCGCAGAATGCGGATCTCCTGACCTTCGATAGCTTTCATACGGACAACCAATGGCATGACCTGTGGCTGGCTATATTCGGCATCCTCGATGACGCGGCCCTGCAATCGGTGCACGCCCAATGTCTCAACACTGTCCGCATTTTGACACGCGATGAGTTCAGCCTGCAGACGCACTTCGTCGAGCAGGAGCTGGGCACGCTTTTATCACTGGCGCGTATCAATGCCAGCAGCAATGAGGATGGAGCACTGCCACAGCTTGACGATGCCCAGGCGGAGATTATTGCCGAGGCTTTGAAATGTCTGTGTAACTTGGTCTATCAAAGCGCCGACTGCCGGCGCCAGTGTCTGCGTCAGCACAGTCTCGATGTGCTTGTCAAGCGCTTGGGCACCGCCTCATCGATACGTTATCCTTGCACTTTGGAATATTATGATATGAAGCTGTTGTTTTTGCTTACCGCATTGGAGCCAACAGCGCGTACACGCCTACAAATTGATCTCAATGGACTTACTTACATGACGAAATGGTTGGACGACAAGTTGGCGGATTCTGACACAGCTGCCAGTGAGGAGCAGCTAAACATAATCTGTGAGCTGCTGAAGGTTATGTTCACGGTGACCAGTGCGCCTGACAAGAGCCCCAACGAATACGAAATTCAAAGTCTTCATTTGACGGGCGTTCTGCGGGAACTGCTGTTGCGGTTTGGCAGGCTATCCACAGAACGGGAACGCGCCGTTGTGACACACGCAATTAATTTGCTGACCAACATATCGGACAGCTGCCTCTCCGAGCTGACGCTCAAGTGCAGCTCAGCGGACCCGGGAACGGAGAGTGTGAGAGAATGTACCGTTGCATCTGGTACCACAGAGCCGCAGCCGGCGTCAAAATGTTGTGCCTTGTGCTTTGAGAAGCGCAACGTGCGCAGCCTGGCGGTACTGTTGGACCATCTGCGTGGTGGACTCGCCCAGCAAGAGACAGAAGCCAGCTCCCACGAGCTGCTGTCCCCAGTGCTGACGGTGCTGGTGAAGTGTGCACGCAGCGATCGCACCATGCGGCACTATTTGCGAAAGGAGATCCTACCGCCACTGAAGGACGTCAGCAAGCGGCCAGAGATTGGCAATGAGCTACGCAACCATCTCTGCCGTTTTCTCACGCTGCCTGCCATGATATTGCGTGACCTGGCCGCTGAGCTACTGTTCATACTATGCAAGGAGGATGTCGGTCGCATGATCAAGTACACGGGATATGGCAATGCGGCTGGCTTGTTTGCCAAACGCGGCGTACTCGACTGCCGGCGCATTGAGGGCGCCGACTACTCGTCAGACAGCGAGGACAGCGATACGGAGGAGTACAAGCAACAACAGCAGAGCTTCAATCCGGTGCTCGGCTGTGTAGAGCAGCCCAAACGTAATCCACTCGAGGGCATGACCGAGGAGCAAAAAGAGTACGAGGCGCTGCAGCTGGTCAATTTGCTGGAAAAGCTGCGCAAGGATGGCATCGTACAGCCGGCGCTAATTGACAAGGATGGCAAACCGCAGCCCCTTGAGCACATACTACAGCTACAGGAGGAGCTGCCCCAGCAGCAGCTGGAGCAGAAGCGAAAAACCTAAGCAACGGATCGCATCGATTCGCGTGCAATATGCAAAACAATCTTCGTTGGGGTCTTCCAAATTGTGGCCACATCGTCTCCCAGCCTGCCGGATCTGGATCACTGCAACCCCTTCTCACCTTATACATAACAATTCTCTGTATCATATTTAAGCGCATTGTTATTCCAGTATATATTTACATTTGCTAACAGACAGTGCTAGATAGATACACGGTTGGCTTTTATATATATATATACATATATATATATATATACTTCACTTTTATTGTATTTGCAAGTGACTTTTTCATTTATCTTAATCAAATGTGTATTTATAACCGCTTAAGCTCAACACCAAAATGGAAGAATAAGAAAAATCAGACCTAAGAATTTAAGCTTTATGCATGTATTGATCACGTACAACTTTCCACTTTCATTCTTTAGGCATACATAGAAATCTATATAGAGCTTTATTGTGTTCAATTTTGATAGTCAATGGGGCTTAGCTGCCTACAGATTTGCGACTAGCGATATATATACATAAATATATCTAGCATATAGATGATATATATTTACTAAATACATGTACTTATATTTGCTGGTACTAAATACGTATATGCTTAATAAAAGTTCTCTGTGAATTGAAAGTTGCAAGAAATTGAAAACCCTTTAAAATAAATGTATGTATATATATCTAAGACTCCAAAATTTGGAAATTTTATTGCGTACTTGTATGCAAAGTATTTCAATTGTATTTCATTCAATTTATGCCCAGTACAATTTGAATATTTTTTAGATTTAAGGCAAATATTTTTCGATTTTGTGCAGATTTTTTTTTTATTTATTGTGCTTCCATTAAGTCCAAAAACAACGCAATTTTGTAGGAAGTGAAGTCTCGCCAAGCCTGATTGGGACCTCAATCAAGGTGAGGGCTTATTCCTTTGACTACAATCTTGAGAGAAACCCGACTAAATTATGAACTCTTTTTAACTATTTTTAAAAACCACGAACATGGAAAGCTTGCGGACAAAGAGATTAGGACTAGATTTCAGAAAAGGGCCTGATTGAAGCTAATTGGAAGCGTCTGAGGAAGCAGAGGGATCATGCTGGTAAGCATGAAACATTTCTTTAAAATAGTCAATTAAGAAGCCAATTTGTTTTTGTTTTAGTCTAACTAAGTAAAACTTTAAACTCTATTCGAAGCTGTGGCACATTAATTATGTATGTATATGCATGTGTGTACATATTTGTATAATTTGCCAGATGTTTCCTTAAAGTTCTCTTCTGTGCCTGGCTGAATTCTCCATTGTATTGAGTTATTGTTCTCCTTCTGCTTTTGTTGTATTTGTTATTGTTATTGTTAAACTTGCTTGGCATCCGATCCGGGGCGATATGTATATAGATGGGTCTGGTGGTTACTTGCGAGTTGCATGCGGCTCATCGTTTTTCACCGGCTCAAAGTTGTCATAGAAATTGGCCTCCTGGATGCGCAGGCGATCGCAGCTTGGCGCCGCTGACTGATGATGCCGCTTGGCGTTATGTCCATGAGCGTGCTCCCGCTTGTTCCAGGCATGCTCGAACGCCTGATTCTTGACTGGCTCCGGAAAGTAATTGGAATAGAAGTGCGTTGCCTGTTGGGCACTTTTCTGGTTAACATCATAGCCATGCATATTATCGATGTCGGCTGTGTCCAGCATCGAGGGTGACAATGGACGCCGTGAATCTGGTGTGCCCAGCGCTTGAGGCATCAGTGGCTGGGCATGGCAGCTGCTGGTCTTGTACACGTTGCACAGATCGGGCAGCTCGTAGGCATTCGCGTTGGTCTCGTCGCGTGCCAGAAACTCGCGCATTTGCAGCTGCTTCTGCTTGTCCCGGTCCAGCTTGGGCACATCCAAGCCAGCTTCGCTCTTGCTCGTCGTCGACGCCGGCGGCGGCGGCGGTGGTGGTGGTGGCGGCGGCTGCGGCGGCTGGATCGGCGAGGACTGCAGCAGGCGTTCGATATGCTGGCGCAAGCTCTGCTTGGTGAGCAGCTGCTGATTGTCCTGCACATAGTGGAACAGCTGTCGCTTGCACTTGGCCATCTCCTCCTCCAGGCGGCTGAGGCGCGTCTTATAGCAGACGAACGCGGCCGAAGCATTTGACACTTTAATATTGCCCTCCAACTTGTCGCCGAGCTCGCCCGGCTCCAACGGCGCCGACACCTGCGACAGCGAATCCGCCTGCCGCGTTGTGCCCTCGGGCGTATAGAAGCGATCGCCTTCATCATCCGGATGCATTTGCATTTGCCGCTGCTGCTTGAGCAGACGCAGTGCGCTCTCGGATGCTTCCTGGGCTATTTTACGCATTTGATGCTTCTGGATTAGCTGCTGCTGGGCACGTTGATTCAGTGCATCGGCTTCGCTGATATTGTACTTCCTCTGCTGCAGCTCCTGATGCTCTAGCTTCAGTCGTTCCAAGGCGGATGACAGGTCGATGGGCTTTTGATCCTTGCGCAATTGCTGCTCTAAAGTCTGGGCCTGAGCCGGGCTCTGCGATTGAGGCTGAGCATGGGCCTGTGCTTGCGCCTGCGCCTGGGCCAGCTGCATTGTTTTGGGCACCACCCGTTCCATAGTTTTGACATGCGCCTGGGCGTACTTCCTCAATTGGAGATCGGCCAACTCTTGCGCATGTGATTGGGCCAGTTGTTCGGCATGCGATTTAACTATGTCTGCCGCATGCATATTGGACATGGTCTGGTCGCGCATTTGCGAATATTGTTGGCTAATGGTTTCAGAGAGCTCTTCCTCGGTCGACGGCTCGAGCTCTATTTTGGCGTCCCTCCTGGCCAGCTCCGCCTCCTTGATCTTGATCAGACGCCGCTCCTTGCACTCCTTGCGCAGCTTGCGCACACGCGCGCGCAGCTGTGCCGTGGTACCCATTGGCTCTGGCTCCGACGGCGGTGGCACGTGCATGGGCAAGGGTCCGGGCACCGGCACAGGTTCCGTCCACAAGCGCAGCGGTGGCTGCGCTGCCGCCGGCCCGGCTGCCGTCGCAGCTGGCGGTGCGACGGGCGGTGCAGCTGCTGGCCCAACTGGCGCCTGCCACAGGCCACCGCTGACGCAGCGCGGTGCCGTTGCAGCCACAGCGGCCAGTTCCCGGCGCAGTGCCACATGCGTCGGTTCCGTGCGACGCAGCTGCGCGGCCTCATTGAACCCGTTCGCATAACGCTTGCCGCGATGCACCAGCTGCTGCGGCTGGTGATGCTGGCAATTCTGGTGCAGCTGATGCTGTTGTTGCGCCTGCTGCTGGTGGTAGCGCTGTGGAAAGTGTTGCTGGTTCTCCAAGTGCCGCTGCTTTCGTTGCTCCTCCGCCCAGGCCTTGGTCAGCGAGGTAATCGGCTTCTCGGGCAGCTCCGCGTGCCCGGTGCCAGCTGCATGGAAATGCCCAGCGGGTGGTCTACGAATGGCGAGTGGGAAGTGGGATGAGCATTTGCTGATTCAAAGCTTGTGGCATTAAGGGCAATTACAAACATTTTCTATATATACCAAGATCGTGTAGATGTGAGCGGAATTGTGCATTCAATTGGAACCTTGCCTAACTGGGACTATAGAAATTTTTGGGAGCCTAACCTAGTTCTGTCTATGGACATTACGGATATGTGGAACGGCGCTGAGCAGCTCGAGCGATGCGCTGTCTTGGGTTTTTCATTTGGTCATTTGGTTTTCTAGCTGTTGAATCAAACGATGCTGGGATTGAGGCAGGGATTGAGACTGAGGTTGAGGTTGAGATCGACATGGAGGATGACGTCTCCCGCCCACTTTTGCCGAGTACCGCTCGCTGCGGTTGTTGTTTGCAGTTGATTGTTGTCTTTGTCTTGGTTGTCCTCGTTGTCTTCGTTGTCGTTGTCGATGTGGTGTCCACTGTACTGGCCGTGGTCGTCGCTGTGGCTGAGCGACGATATCTGCAAAAGCGAGCGAGCAGCTAGAGACGGGCCCAGCACAAACAAAAGGAACCACCCAGAACCCAGAGCCCAAGCCTCGCACCGCCAAAGCAATTAAAGCCGCCCACTCACCTGGATTTTGATACGGATCTGATGACGCGCGTGGTGATGCCCGGCTGCAGTTCGGGGCCATTTGTTGGGGTCGTCTGTGTGGTGCTCGAGTGCCGTGCACTGGATCGCATGTCGGGCGCGATCATCTCGTAGAGCGTGGAACGATACTCGTCCACGCCGTAGCGTACGTCGTCGTCGAGCGGCGGCTTGATGTCCGTGCGCAGCTCCATGTTCGCGGAGGCAGTGCGAAAGCGATGCACATACGAGTGGGCGATGGCCTCCTTGGCGGTCAGCCGGCCATCCGGATCGAGCACCAACAGCGACTTGACCAGGGACATGGCATCGTCGCAACAGTTGCGCAGCATCTCGTCCAGCGAGTGGCGGCGATCCCGCACAATCTTCTTGCTGAGCAGCACCGAGCCGAAGCTGGCTCCAATCGATTCGATGTCCCGCTCCGTCACATCCGGCAGCGCGTTCACGATCTTCTCAATCTGCCGGCAACCATAACAATAACAATTATAATAATACTAGCAGCGTGGCTATCCAACGGTTCAACTACCTGATTTATGGTGCTGGTACCCTGGAAGAGCGGCTTCTGGCGTATCATCTCGCCGAGAATGCAGCCCAGGCTCCACATGTCAATGCCCTTTGTATATCTACACGAATGCACAAGAGATTTCAGATCACATAAAAGTGTGCTCTACTCAACTCAACGCTTACTTGCGACTGGCCACCAGAATTTCGGGCGCCCGATACCAGCGGGTCGCCACATAATCCGTCAGCATGGCCTCGTTGTCCAGCTCATCCTTGCAGTCAAAGTCCACATTGTTGCGCCGCTTCGAGCACAGAGTGCGCGCCAGTCCAAAGTCGGCCACCTTGAGTCTGTCGGATTAATTATATGATTATCATATATACTTATGATAAAAACGACAAGCTGATGATCTGTTTTTCAAGGGACCAACACAATTTGTAATACCTCGAACCCATTAAAAATGGGCAATTTAAGTATATACATTCTTGATCAGCATCAACAGCCGAGTCGATCTAGCCATGTCCGTCCGTCTATCCATTCGTCTGTCTGTCTGTATGAACGCAAGAATCTCGGAACCTATAGGAGCTAGAGGCTAGAAATTTGGAACGTAGGACCCTCCTAGTGCCCGCGCAGTTCGAGTTTGTTTCCGATAGTCGATAACTTGCACCATTACAAAGTAATCGATAAGAATCGATATCGAAATCCTGTTTTTTGAGCAAATCTCGTTAGTTATAAGAGCTAGAGGCATCAAATTTTGTATATAGCCTCTGCAATAATATATATATATATATAAGATGAACTCATTCAAGTTGGCAAAAAATATTCATTTGTAAGGGGGGATTTATCAAATTCTGGCTCGAAGCTTGAGGCTCGGCCCAAAGATCTGCTTTCCTGAAACCAGGTATTAGCTTATCCCTGAGCTTGTCGTTTTTCAACCGCCCGTTCTACTGAAAATATCGATAGTAGATATTTTCATAATGAATTTGTGGGCTAAATTTTGTCTCTACCCGAAATTATCATCTGACAAATAGATGGTTACTTAAATGCAATTGGTGGTTTCAAGTTTTTTTGCATTGTCACTGAATCTTACCAAAATGTTTTTTTTTATTTTAAGCCTAACCAGCTTTTAAAGAGATATATAATTCGGTACGGGTTTCGGTTGAACTGTTGTCGGGTTGACTGGCATAAATTTAAGATTTGGTTCTAGACCACAGATCTCTATATACTATGTTGGATCAGATTGAATGAGCTTACCTGCATTTGCTGTCAATGAGAATGTTGCTCGGCTTGAGATCCCTGTGTATGACATTACCGGAGTGCATGTACTTGATCGCATTGATCAGCTGGTACATGACAAAGCGCTTGTGTATATCCTTGAGGACGTCCCCCTTCTTGATAACATTGTGCAGATCGCTGTCCATGAACTCGAACACCAAATAAAAGTCCAAATTGTTAGCAGCCCTAGACAAGAGAAATGCATTAGGAGCATAGCCAAGCGGTGGATCTGATGGGGCTGGAAACGTACTTGAATATGTCCAGCATGCGTATAATATTGGGATGGTGGCGAAAGGCGCGCAGGAAGACAACCTCGCGATATGTGCGCTGGGCATCGGTTTCATCCCGGAAGGCGTCGTAGATCTTCTTGAGGGCCACGGTGTCCTTTTGCCGCTTGTCGGTGGCCTTCCACACGATGCCGTAGGCGCCCTTGCCCAGGCGCTATACAGTACCGATAACGATGACGATGATCGATGACGATAACGTTATTGATAACGATAACGATATTAATAAAGATATCGATAACGGTGACGATAACGATATCGATGACGATGACGATGATCGATGACGATAACGTTATTGATAACGATAACGATATTGATAAAGATATCGATAGCGGTGACGATAACGATATCGATGTCGATAACGATATCGATGACGATTACAATATACCTACCTTGCGCACTTCGAAGTAACGCTCCACATTCTGGTCTAGCTCATGAATGCGTCGCTCCTGGGCATTCGATTGTCGCTCGGCCATTAGCTTCTCCTTGTCTTTGTCTTTGTCCTTGTTCCTCTCCTTGTGCTTCTCCTTGATCAAGGGCCTATGATGAAGTGGCTCGCTCTTCCGGACCCTCATATGAGCAGCCTGATGTTGATGCGCCTCCCGCTGCCTCTCCGTTTGCTGCGGCTGCTGCGGCTGCTCCTGCTGCTGCGCCTGCTCCTGCTGCTGCTGCAGTTTTCGATGCCGACGACGAAATTTCCGCTTTTCCACCTCCAGCTCTGGAATGGCAATGATATTGTCAGCAAATCCACCAACTTTTCGCACGACCTGGCGTCGGTTGGCTTCGTCCTGGGCGGGCGCCAGTTTGTGGCAAGCCCTCCAACACTTCTAATGGCGCCTGCGGGTGTCGAGGAAGGGGTAGGTTGGAGGGTGCACTAAGGTGCATGCTGCTGCCAGTTGCTGCCAGTTGCTGCAAGTTGTTGCTGTTGTTGCTGTTGTCGCCTTACATCGCTCCCAAATAGCAACTTCGTTTTGGAGCATCGCGTGTGAATGTCGCCGTTCGCATTCTTAGACTCAGACTCCATATGCAAACGGCGGCTCAAGTATGTTAAAAGGCAACAACAACAACAAATAATCATGGAGCAATTTGATTGAAACCGAATTATTGTTAGATCGATCGAAAAGCGAAAGTGGGCGACGACAACAGCAACAACAACTGAAGACCCAGGGGCAAACAATTTGGCCTAGCAATGCCAACAAATGGACAAATGGAACCAGGACCTCAAGTGCCCGGGGCAACCTCATGTGTTGTTGCTGCTGTTGTTGTTGTTGTTGTTGTTGCTGCTGTTGTTGTTGTTGTTGTTGTTGTTGCTGCTGTTGTTGCTGCTGTTGTCATTGCAAGTGGCAGCCCCGCAGAAAACAATCAAACAACGCCTCAAACGCCATCGACTCGCGCATGCAATCGGCGGGCGTAGAGCAAAAATGAATTTGTTTAACAATAAATATGCGCTAAGAATTGCATTTAAGCCCATTTAAGTGTGTGTACGTTGAGAGTACACTGTCCAGCCAAGCAAATTGGCCTCACTTTCTCTTCTATGCGGATCAATATAAGTAGACAGCAGAGCGGCCAATTTAGCTATATTCTAGCTAACTTGGCTGATTTTTTACAGCTACTCTTCTGCTGCAGCTAGTTTTGGCTATTTTTTCAAAACTTGTAAATCAAATCCAAAGTATTCAAAATAATTATATTTCATTCACAAGTTTTCAATACCAAATATTGTACAATAAAACCTGATTGAAGCTTGGCATAAGCTTTGAGCCAAGATTTGTATGGATTGTGAAAGAGGTTCTTTGGTTTTTCGAAAATTTAATTAAAAATATTATACAAAGAGCAGCTAAGAAGCACTTTTCAAACCCTCAAAAAACATTTTTTAAACATTCAAATATATGCTAAAGCAAGCAACTCCTAATAAAATGCATGTTTATAGGGTATGCGCTTTCGTAGTCTACATCAAGTTAATAAGAATTAAAGTGTTTTGAAACCAGCTGCTGGTTCAAATCTGTCATATTAAATGTTTATGAAACAATTAACAAAAATTGCATGTAGAATAGAAATTCATATAAAAATTGTTGACTACATTTTAACTCCGATAAATGCAATGGCTGCGGCTCAAGATATATATATTTTCGGGCTTGGGCTCAAATGATTTTAGTTAAATATTAAATATTTCATATAATTCTGGGTGCAGTCTTGAATTTGATGCAGCACAGTGTAGTGCAGGGAATAGGCTAAACAGACAACAGACCTCGGCAGAGCTACTTTTGAAAATCAAGTGGCAAAATTTGGCATGTCACTTACCTGCCGACTGAAGGATGCGCGACTGCTGCAGCTGGGCGGGCACCTGGGCGGGCGGGCGTGGCACCTGGACGAGCCGAATGTGGGCCAACCGCTGGCAATCGAGGTACAAGCAGCTGCTAGAGTATTGACAGCATCAACTTACAATTTGCACACGATACACCATTAAAAAAAAAAAAAAAATAAAACAAAATAAACACGAAAAAAAAACCCAGATAAAGTAAATGAAGACTAAACACGAATCCAAAGGTAACTGCGGAAGATATTTGTAGTTCGATTGACGGATAACGGTAAAAAGACGCACCTCTTATAAGTTCACGATTTTGAACAACGCAACAGCAAAAGGAACGAAAAGCAAGCGACGACACAGACTTGCAATGATTGATTGGTTGATTGGTTGTTTGGTTGATTGGTTGATTGATTGATTGATCAGTTCCAGTATTCGTTATTAGTTCCGTTATTCGTTGACCGCCATCAGTTAAAATACGAATGTCGCGCTTCTCAACCGAATTGAAGGTAATTGTTTAACTGCTGCGACTTTATAATTTGAACGTTTTCCACTTGCGGACCCGCAAAACTTTCGAATCACGCTGTTCAATTTGAGTACTGCACTTGAACATATATATATATACATACACACACACAGACACACATATATATACATATATATACATATATATATACATATATATGCAATAATTGTGCATACATATATATAAGGGATACCGTCTCGGATAACTCGCGTTGTGATTTTTGGAAAAATAAGATCAAAAGTTGAATACAAAATTGTGTGTTTTTTATTGTCGAGTTGTGTAGAAGGTATACAAAATATGGATGCCAAATGTCTCCGACATTTCTAAAGGTCAACACGTCTAACGCCCTGACTACTATGTTTTTCACACTGTCTTTGGCGCGATTCCGCCAAAGCCTACTATCTGAATAAACGTGCATACATATATATATATATATATATATATATATATATATATATTTAACATATGCATGTGTGTGTGTATGCATGTGTGTAGATTGTTTCTGTGCTTGTTTCTGTTATCGGCTCGGTGGTTATGGTTATGGCTGAGTACCGTTGTCCCTCAGGACGCATCATTCACATGTTCGGCATTTTGACACGCGGGTCTGGTTAGCGTGAGCTGCATTTTAAACAAATTCAATGCAATTTACATATATTTATTTGATTTATAAATAATGGTGGAGCAGAGCATAAACACTTAAACTAAATGAAATTTACATACATGTCTTACATATAAGAAATGGCATTTTTTTAAAATTGTTTGTTTTGCTTAAACCTAATACTCAATTCTACAATATGGCCACACTGTGATGGATCATTTAAGTAGAACTATTGGATCTAAGATAGTATGCTGCTGCTGCTCACTCTCAAAGCAGGACGACAGATTGGAACGAGAAAAAAACGAGACGAGCGAAACAAGTGCAAGCAGCGTTAATCATTTGCTAAGCCGAGTACAATTTTAAGACTGACAATGTGAATGATATGCGCTTGGACTGGTTGGCCCAGTGTAAGTCGCCGACAGGTTGCTATCAATAAATATTTTTGATGCTTAGTTTTCAATAACAAACAGGAGCAGGGGTAGCCGATTTGCCGCCGCCTGGCAACCTCCCGCACACAACATAGAGCGAGTACGAGAGAGAGCGATAGAGAGAGAGAGAGAGAGAGAGAGAGCGCGAATAAGAACAGCCGGTGAGTATATTCTGTTGATCGGGTTGCTGATGGTAACGGTAATACACACAACTTATTGTTAATATCATATATGTATATTCATATCCATGGTGATCGGTTGCGGTGTATTTTACATATTGTGTGCATGTCAATTTTATTCTTGTGTGTGCTTAATGGTATAGGATGGGGCGGGGGCGGGGAAGAGAAGAGACATACAAGGGGATATCTTAGCTCGTTAAAAACATAATATAGCCAGCCATACACTAATGTTTAAGTATGCAGCGTTTATCAATTAGTTGATAACTTTCTTGTGTGTTTGTTTCTTTTTCTTTGTTATTGTTGTTTGCGGTTTCTTCTTTTGTCATTGCTGCTGCATCTTCTGCTGCTGGTAGAGCAGCTGAAGCTGTTGTTGTTGTTGCTGCTGCTGCTGCTGTTGAAGTTGTTGTTGTTGTTGTTGAAGTTGCAAGTTTTGCTGTTGTAGTTGTAAGTTTTGCTGTTGCAATTGATGTTGCTGCTGTTGCTGTTGCTGCTGCTGTTGCTGTTGTTTCTGCTGATGCAGCTGCTGGAAATGCTGCTGCTGCTGCTGCACCTGCTGGTAGTGCGCCTGTCGCCGCTTCTGCTTCTCGAGCTCGGCGAAATGTTCCTGCTGCTTGCGCACCAGCTCGTCCATTACCTCGTGATTGTAGGTAGAGTGCAGCATCAGGCCAAGTAAATTGGCACGCGAGCTGAGCTGTTGCCGCAGCTGGCGTTCCTGTTCCATCAGATCATCCATTTTGAGCCATTGACGCACTCGCTCCAAATCGATTTCGGCCCTGCGTATCTTCTCCCAGGCATAGTGCTTGAAGCAATTCTTTTTGGGTGCACGACAAAATTCACCGGTGGGATTGAAAACATTGTGCACAAGCGGCGCACCGCACACATCCGTATCGCTAACCTTAGGATCCTTGCTGTGCTCCGGGCAGAGGACGCGCAAGCGCTTGCAATACGTTTTGCTGGCCGGATTATAAAAGTCACAGAACATATTATTGCCCTCCATGCGGGTCTGAAAGATGCTGCCAAAGCTGGCCTGCGATTCGTATTTATTGAAGCACTTTTCCATGTGCTTGATGGCGGTGCGTGAGTGTATCTCATGGCCGCATGTAATGCAGTACATGCTCTGCTCGTCCTCCACATCGCCGTTGTCCTGCGGCCGTTGGGTGTCTATGGAACTGCGTTTTGCACGGTCCACCACCATGTTGAGCTCCTCGGCGCGTTTTTCCAGCTCGGCGAGTGCAAAGCGCACCATAGACTGCTTTTGTCTGATGACTTCCAGTTGTTCGCGATTCTCCTCGGCTGCATGGCAGGGCGTCAAGTTCCATTCCTGCAGACGCTGCGGCAGCACCTGGAATATACGATTCGTAGCGAGATTGAAGCCGCACTTGTCGCTGCAGTATTTACTTTGCGGTCGGGCCTGACAACGGCAGCTCGGTCCATGACACTGTCGCAAACCCTCCAGCTCTGGATGCACAAATATCTCCGGACTGTCGGAACGCAAAACTTTGCTTTTGCGCTGCTGCTGCTGCTGAATAACGTTGCCCTTTTCGCGCTTGCGACCTGTCGTTGCTACTGGATGAGCCGGATGGGCAGCCTGCATTACACAGTTGCGATAGATGCAGCGCGGCTTGTGGCCGACCCGTGTGCGACAGGCGTCACACTGGTTGCAGTTGGGTCGCCGGCAACCTTCGCATGTGCCGCACCGTCTGGCTGCCTTCGTTTCTTTGGCCATGCTATTGTTTTTGCGACCAGTTCCGCCCGCACCGCCACTGGTGCCCGCCGAGGTGCCAGCAGCCGCTTGTCCAGCAAGTGAGCCAGACGCATTTGTGGCCCCATATCCGCTGTGGGCGCCACCTGTTGATGCAGCTGCCGTGGCGGCCGCACGCTCGGTGGCCACCAGACGGAATATGGTCTGCAGCTCCGGATTCTCCTTCTTGCATCTGCGGCAATAATATTGTTTAATGTGCTTGGCCTCCTTTTCGGTGATGCCAATGCAGTCGCCATGATACCATTCCTCGCAGCCGTCGCAGCCACTGAAAAAGTGTTCAATTAGTCGCAATTGATTGACAACAATTGTCAACTAGCTATATTATTATTAATTCAACTTACATCATGAATCTGGAGCAGTCGGATGTGCGACATATGCAGTAGGCCTGATCATCTTGCTTGAGTATTGTTGCTATTTTGGATTTGCGCTCGGGCAGATCGAATTCGCGGGCGATTTCCTCTTTCTACATACAGATAAAGATTTGTGTTATGCCCACTTACATTATGGTTAATCATTTTTTGTTATGTTCCATTTACCGATCTCTTGTATTTGCGTTTATCCGCCATAATTGTGAAGGACACAGCCAGCGCCACCCACAAACAACAGCTATGTGATATGAATTGTTATTAATGTATCGATATATCGCCAATGACGTCTTTCGTTTTCGATAGCGTGGTCGTGTCAATATTTAAAGGGCGCTGCAATTATAAAAATCGACTTACAGTATTTAGTATTTTTTATCTACTACATTTTTGTATATTCTTTTATATAATTAACAGCAATAGTCGTTTTCTATAAAAACTTGAGGTAAATAATGACAATTTAACTATTTAATATTTCAACATATTGCATTAAATATTTCCTTAACTATCAACATAAACATGCAATCACAAATGTCGGCGTTGCCAGTCAGGCTCAATGCAAACAATTTACGGAAGGCCGTTTTACCAACATTTTGCGGCGATATGTAGTTTTTGGTATTTTTTTATATTTGTGATTTAGACGCATACAATTTGCGGTCATACCAATCCCTCGACTTGGTGCAAATTTGCTTGCTTATAAATAATAAACAAACAAAAAAAAAACAACTGGAATAGCATGGGCGTGACTGTGCTACAACCATACCCACTGCCTGAGGGCAAATCTGGTTCCCACATCATGGATCACCTGGGCAAACGCCTGCTCTCACTGGGCGCCACACATGCCGGCCAGTTTTTGGTGGATTGCGAAACTTTTATCTCAACGCCGCAGCACGGAACACCGACCCGGGCCGTCCATGTGCTGCACAATTCAGAGTATCCAGCTTCAACATTCTCCATAATTGACAATGGCACTGGCAAACAAGTGGCCCTTGTGGCTGACAGCATTTTTGATTTGCTAATGCTAAAAATGACCTCCACATTTACGTCCAAGAAACAAACGAAGATTGAGTCGCGCGGCGCTCGCTTTGAGTATGGCGACTTTGTAATTAAGCTCGGCTCCGTTACCATGATGGAGCACTTTAAAGGCATACTCATTGAGATCGAATATAGGCCTTGCATAACGCTTTCCTATTGCTGGGAAATGATACGCGAAATGCTGCAGGGCTTCCTCGGCATCAGTGTGGCCAAAGAGTATCCCACCTATTTCACCACACAAACAATCATGAATGCAATGGGCCAGCAGCAGCTGCACGCCAAGCAGAATGACATCTACGAGCCGATGGACACGGTTAAACAGTATCTGGAGCACTTTACCAACTATCGCAAGCATGTCCAGCTGCACGGCACTCTGAGTAGTGCGGCCGGGTCTATCGGTTCTGTGATGATGCCCTCTACGGTTGGCATGGGGCGCCCTTGATGCGAGGTGAAGCTGGAGCCGCCAGATGCCACCTAAGCCACTAGCAGGAGAGCCAGCCCCGTTTTGAATAAGCGAAAACTCAACTCAAATTTTAATAATTTTTTGTTTCTTTTTTATTATTATTTTGTATGTATTTTTAACACAATAGTTGTATATAATATATATATATATATATGTATGTGTATATGTATGGTAGTAATATCTTAAATTATGCGTATATGCAAGTTGCTCTCGCACGACTATTTCTGCAAAGTACAGTTGCGTCCAATGCGCTTAGAATGTAGAAAAAAAAATGTTAAAAAAAAAATTGAATAAAAAAATTCGCAATTTCGGATTCTCGACAGGCAAAGCAAAATTAAACAAAAAGCATTTCCACAAAGAAAAACTGTACGAAAATGATTCCAAATACTTGCAAACTGTTATACAAATACAAAAAATTAAAAAAGCAAAAAAAAAATGGTAGTAAAAACAATGGAAGCTTGTTTTATAAAAATGTGCATAAAATATATGTATTTATTCAAAGTATGCGAGCGAAAAAAAAAATGTATATAGTTCGTATATTTTTAATGATAATATAATTTGTAAGGATGCGTCTTCTCACAACAAGACATGTTTAATGGTTTTTATACTTAAAAGTAAGAAACTGGTGTTGCAAGTTTTATTATTGCTGCAATCGTATTAGTTTTGTGTTTGTGTGTGTGAGTTGTATGTGTGTGTGTGTGTGAGAAAAATACAAGAATAAATGGCGAGCAAATATAAACGAACTGCCAATTTTGTGATACAAAGTAAAAACATTTTGAACGAATATGGAATTTAAATTGGTGTTTTTTAAGGTTATAATTACGCAGTTTTTTTTATCTTTTTTCATTTTATCCTTCTCGTTTTGCATGAAAACCTTAAACATAACACAATAATTGTAATATAATCTTCTGTAACTTCCATTTTTTTTTTTTTTTTTTTTTTTTTTTTTTTTAGTTTTATGTTTTTTTATGGTTTGTATAGATCTCTTAAACTTAGTTGTATATCATAATAAATTGTAGTTGCGTGTTATACATATGTCTAGTAATAATAACGGTGTCTGTGTGTGGATGTGTGAGTGTGTATAACAGTTCCGTATAAGTAAATATGTTTCCAGATGCAGTTACTGTTGCAGCTGCGCCTGCGACGAAATTCGCTCTCATCAGCGTTTTTGGCGCTCTCTCTTTCTCTTAACCTCCTTCTCTCTTGCTCACTTGTTGTAAGTTTTGTGTGTCTGTCTATGGATTTGTGTGTCTGTGAGTGTGTGTATTGCTTTTGCTTTTGCTGTTTCCGTTGTTGTCGTTGTTTTCATATTCTTTTTGTTGCTTTTTTGCCGCTGCTTTGCTTTGTTTTGTTTTTCTTTACAAATATTTTAAAATAAGTTTATGTTTATATGAAGATATATATGTGTAAGTATGCATATGTATATATTACTCATATAGTTTAAACGGAGATCAATTTCCGATTGATTGTTGTTATTTGTTTGTAGTTTTCTTCTTATTTTTTTGTTTTATCCATGTCCTTTCTATGTCCGTCCATGTGCAACAACAACAAAATAAACAACTTTTGCTTTTTTGCTGCTTTTGCTTCCATTTGTTCTCTCTCCTAACGTTTCATTTGTTTACGGTTGTTGCTCGCGCTTATCGGTGTTGTTTTAGCTTTTGTGATATTGTTGTTGTGTTTCTTTGTTTTTTCTTTTGTTTTCATTTGCTTTTTGTTGTTGTTGTTGCTGCTTCTGCTGCGAAATCAATCAATCCTCGCTCCTTAGTCGCGTATGGGCAAAGTGGCCGGCTTAACGTGTCCGCCGTCGCCCTCAGATACAAAACGTTTGCGTCCACTGCAAAAAGGAAACAGAAGAAACATAAATAAATATGAAATAAAAACAAGCCAAAAAACAAGAACAAGAACAACTTGTTTGTGCAATTATAATATGGCTTAACTAAAAAATGTACACATTTGCATATGATGTTATAGCACACCTATATGCATTCCTTCTGCTTAATCTTTAAACTCCAGCTTAATACTTAGAAACTGTATTGTAAATTGTATGCATTAATTAATCGAGTTTGAGATGAGCTATCGATAAATTGAAAGCAAACTTAATCGAAACGTTTATGCAGATGAACGGTCAGACTGGCAATCGGCCATGGCGGAATAGACTTGGCTTTTATTTGATGAGTACGCAGATCTCTTCATATATTTCAAAAAACCCATTACAACCGATTGGTTTTACTGTAAATACTTTATAGAAAAATAAACCTATTAAATCTGTTTATATGTACATATATTAAAATAGTTTATACTATTATATATACATTCACATACATAACTTGAGTGCAATGCCATAAAATCATAACACACGCATTATGCAATGTCAAAAACAATTAGAAAAAAAAATACCAGAACACCATCACGAAAATACAATTTGCGAATTTGGCAAGCGAGATAAAAAGAAAAAATAAAAACTAAATACTGCGAAAAACCAAAAAAGAAATCTTGACGCTTTTTTACTCGAATTTGCAGCAGAGTTCATTCAACCGTTGACCCTTTTTCTCTCCTCTCTGAACGAAAAAGTGCAGCGCGACAGAACAGCTGTGCGACAACTAGCTAGTGTGGGCATGTGTGTGTGAGTGTGTTGGTGTGGGAGGGGGAGGGGGGCTGCTAAGGGAAGCAGAACTGCAACTCGAAACTAGTTTCACTGCGTGCAGCACAAGTCACTGAGTTTATCTGAAAAGCCGACCAGGCCAGTATCAAATTTTAACCTACATCAACTTCAAAGCTTTATTTGTGCATAATACAGTGCCGGACAAAAAGTTCGGACAACCACTTTTGCAATGTTTACAACAAGTTATAATTGGGGCATATGATATTATTATTATTATTAAAAGAGATAAGGTGCACTGTTATGTACATAAACTTAAATTGACACTAGAAATAAAAAGAAGTATAAATATTTCAGCACATGACCGTTTGTTCTGTCCGTTTATTTTTGTCCGCTACTGTATTTATACGATTTTTATACATACATATCCATAAATATATAGGAATAGAGCAAATTCATTTTGGGGACGGAGGATCGACTGTGGAGGAGGTTAGCGTTCATGGACGATAGTGTGGCAGATAGGAGGAACAACAAGTATAAACTTTCAGGCAAACGCTGATGACGGTTTAATACTCTATAATCATCAAACTTGGATCAGTTCTCAAATATTCTATCATATATTCGCTTCGCGGTGTATTAGTGGGCGGGCCAACATACTTTATATACTCCTTTTCCATTTAGAAACAACAGCAAAGCCGAAGAAAAGTGAAGAATAAAGCATATCCGATTGCTACACTTTTTTTTTAACTGTTATTAATAAGCTTCAGCTAATTAGAGGGCAGGTCATATCGTAAACATTGCAGATTGAATGTATTAAGTTACATTAAAGATATTTCCTTTAATCTTTAACTAAAACTCTTCTATTCTCTCACTGTAGTCAAATTATTATGTGTGTATATGTACCCCAAAGCGTGACATTTATAGGGTATTGAGGGCCATGTTGTCGCGTCTGTGCTTAAGTGTGTGTGTGTGTTTGTGTGTGTGTATGTGTAAAGTGAACGCTTCTGTTGTAGTAGTTGGTGTTTTTGTTGTGACTATGTTAAGTGCCAAAGAGCAACAGCCGCAGCCAAGGCGAATGCAAAATGCAGTTACAACAACAACAACAACAACAACAACAGCAGCAACAGCTAAGCTTACAGCA